AACTGAATTGCTTTTTCTCTTTTTACTCACTACAAAGGTTGACTCAAAGCAGCAGAATAACAAAAATAGCAAGCAAATACAATCCAGGCTCCACAAGTTTCTGAAACCAATTCAGAGATGTTTTATCAAGGAGCTTTACTTAGTATAATTTTTAGATGAGATACAAAACTCTTGTCAATGAAAAATAAATGATGAAAAATGATGGGAAAAAAAACCCCAGACCCAGGAAACTACAGACCAATCAGTCTGGTATCAATACCTGGGAAGATCATGGAAAAGATAATAAAAAAATCAGATCTGTGAACATCTCAAAACAAATAAAGTTATAACTAGGATCCAGCATGGGTGTGTTAAAAACAGGTCATGCCAAACCAATCTTATTTTATTTTTTGACAAAGTGACTAAATTAGTACACCAGCAAAATGCTGTGGACATAGTATACTATTTCTTAGTAAGCTAGATAAATGTGGCGTAGATATCATCACCACCAGGTGGATTTGTAACTGGCTGATAAACCACTCAATGAATAATTCTTAATGGTACTATACAACTACATGGAGGGACATAAGCAGCGGAGTACTACAACGCTCTGTCTTAGGCCTAGTACTGTTCAATATTTTCATAAATGACTTAGATGAGTGAATAGAAGGAGAACTCATGAAATTTGGAGATGACACTAAGCTGGCAGGAATAGCCAACATCCCAGAAGACATGTTCAGACTTGAACAATGGATCCTATCCAACAACATAAAATTTAATGTGGAGAAAAGCAAGGTTTTACACTTAGGCAAGAAAAACCAAAGGTACAAGTACAAACTAGGCAAAACCTGACTCAATAACAGTAGCTGTGAGAGGGACCTTGGACAATCACTGAAACATGAGCCAGCAGTAGGGTAATATAATCCTTGGTGGTATAAAGAAAGGCATAGAATCAAAATCATATGAAGTATTAGTACCACTTTATACAGCCTTAGTAAGGCTATACCTAGAAAACTGCATCCAGTTTTGGTCACCACATTAAAAAAAAAGATATTGAGACTTTGGAAAAAATGCAAAGAGCAAGTAAGATGATTAAAGGACTGGAGACTAAAATATTTGAAGAACGATTGAAGGATTTGGGTTTGGCCAGTCTAGAGAAAAGGACTAGGGGTGACATGATAGCAGTATTCCAGTATTTGAGGGGCTGCCAAAAAGAAGAGGGGGTCAACTTATTTTCCAAAGTACCAGAGGACAAGACAAGAAACAACTGATGGAAACTAATCAAGGAGAAAAGCAACCTGGCATTAAGGAGAAACTTTCTAACAGTGAGAACAATTAACCAGTGGAACAGCTTCCCTTCAGAGGTTGTGGGTGCTCCATCACTGGAGGTCTTTAAGAAGAGACTGGACAGCCACTTGTCTAAAATTGTATAGGGTCTCCTGCTTGAGCCGGGGGTTGGACCAAGGTCCATTCCAGCTCTATTCTGATTGATTGACGATGAGGGCTCTGTGTGAGTTGTTTTGTTTCACGTTCTTTTCTGCAGACTATCTAGATTCTTCTGATTGTTAATGTGAAAATACTGAGTGCCGATATGAAGGCACTACTCAAGTACATGGTGTTTTGAATTAAGCATTCTCTCTTTTTGCATTAGGAGAGAAAAGAGACGGGCTCATTTCCATCAGGAAAGTGTGATACTCTTTTGTATCAATAACTTTTTTTTTTCCGGCTAAAAATCTATTCAATTTATTAACGCATAATTTCAAAACTTCTTTCCCAAAAATATCTCAGTTGCAATAGTAACTTTGTAATTGAATTACAAAGTTTAGAATATGAGAAGCAACATTATTCTCAGTTTCCTTGAGTGAGTTGTATGGGACTTCACATAGAGAGAAATGTGAGGAAGAATTTTCCTGGCGCTCTGTATTTGCAAATCACAAGAGAATTGACTCAGTAGAGGAATCTGATAATTTTGGGGGGAGGGGAAAATTCATTCCCCACCCTCTCAATTGCCCTAAAGGTACAGATAATCCTCAACTAAAATTTCTGTTGCCAAGTGAGATAGTTGTTAAATGAATTGTGCCCCATTTTATGACCTTTCTTGCCACAATTCAATTAAGTGAATCACTGCAGTTCTTCAATTAGTAACTTGGTTAAGAGAATCTCGCTTCCTCATTGACTTTGCTTGCCAGAAGGTTGCAAAAGGTGATTACATCATTCTGGGACAGTGCAACCATCATAAATATACACCAGTTGTCAAGCTTTCAAATTTAGATCACATGCCCATGGGGATGCTGCGACAATTGTAAGTGTGAAAAACAGCCATAAGTCACTTTTTTCAAATGACCTGTTGTAAGCTGAGGACTCTCTGTATATTGTGGTTCAATATTGAAAGCTGCTGAGAGATCCAGCAGAATACCCCACCAGAGGTTCAGTGTCCAGCAGAGTTAATTCACAGGCACAATCAGTGCTTTCTCTGTGCTGTGACTCAATGAGAAACCCAAATATAACAGGACCAGATATTCTTCTTCCCCAGAGTAAGTTTCTTGAATAATGGGAACAAGTTTCCTGAGTTGTTATTTTGACTATTAAATTGAAACTATGTCCATACGTTATGCAAAGGTTTTCCTCTCTTGCATAGTAGTAAGTGAAGTAATACAGAGAATCAACTGTGATTCCCAAATCCCTTCATAATTATCAAAATCACAATGATTACTTCATCTTCCACTAAAGGCTAGGGGACTTCTCTCACCCACAGTTATTTTGCAACAAGGTAGGTGTTAGTAACCCTCATCCACAGATTTCTCAAATATTTTGTAATTCTTATAAAAAATTGAAGCTCTGGTCCACAAGTGCCTCAAGGATGATGAAGAACACATGGTGAGACTCCTGTAGGCATACTGTGCAGGTCTGAATTTTAATGCTGCCCTTTTAACGTGCCAGATTAAATTTTATCTTGCTTGACCAACTCAGTGGATCTGTGTTGTTTGCCTAGAGAACTTGGCTTCTCCTTAGACAGCTCTGAAGCCAAATATAGTGGGTGCCTGTCTCAGAGAATGACAGAAGATCTCCATTATGATATCTGAAATACTGCTGATGCTGCTTCTTCTGGTGTCTCATTTTCCATGTGGCACAGTGATATCCAAATGTCCATTAAATGTGCAGAAAGAAGAAGAACACAGATTTAATTACTACAGGCCAGGAGATTTCCTGATAAGCGGAATCATTTCTACATCTAGCACTATATTTAAACCATACTTCTTCTTCAAGCCTCCAAACCACAGTTTTCAAAGGTAATTCCTGATGTGAACTTAACACTAGTGATTAATGTTATCCTTTTAATAGGGATGTCTTCCTTTTAATAGGGATGGTTTCCACTTTCTGGTACCTGATCTCTGCCATCTTTTTCACTCTTCATTTGCTTTAAGAAAAGGTCTGTCTGTCTGTCTGTCTGTCTGTCTGTCTGTCTGTCTGTCTGTCTCTCTCTCTCTCTCTCTCTCTCTCTCTCTCTCTCTCTCTCTCTCTCTCTCTCTCTCTCTCACACACACACACACACACACACACACACGTTTTTCCTGGGGAAGTGGCCATGGTCTTCTTCTGTTGACTTTCAGCTTTTTTTTTCATCAGAAGGCTGATGGGCAATTTGTGCCCTAAAAGGAGTTGAGGTTGGTATTTTACTTTCTACAGAATGAGTGCTATCTTCCATCTCACTTTTTGTTTTAATTAATAAGATAAAAAAAATAAAGAAGCCAAGGATCACAGCAGGATCCATGGCCTTGGGTGTAGGATATCTAAAGACTTTGAAAACACCATCCATCTTATTTAGAAGGGCATTCAATTTAGTAGAGGTGACTTCAGCTGCTCCAAAGAAAAATCCATTTCTAGTAAGTGGTTGTTGTTATTATGTCTTGACATAAAAAGTTGTTGATTTGATTAGGTGAATTCAGTGCAGTACTGGTCACCTTTGAAACCTTATTTTAGATATTCGATTCAATCACTGAACCAACATAAATTGACAATAAAATTAAAAATTACAGTCTTCCCGTATGGAAGTATCAATCCATACAGACTGTGAGGGAAGTCACTAAAAAATAAATTAATAATACGGAACTACAGAACTATTGTTTTTAGTCATCTTCTTCTCTTTCTTTTCAACATTCTCAGCATTATAACTTTTGCCAGAGAGCTAACTTTTTATATAATATTTCCAAACTGAGATAATTTGAGCCTGGTCATTTGTGTGTGAGTGAGCAATCTGGTTGAATTGATTGATGTTCCATTTCCTTGTTTTCTTGGCTGCCTACAGTATACTCAGGAGTCTTCTCCAACCCTAAAATTAAAAAGTGGCAATGCACTTTCTCTCCTGCTTCTTCAAAGTCCAACATTTACTTCCATAGAGTATTACAGGGAATATCATGAGTTGAACAATTCTGATTTTTGTAGATATGGACATATCACAGCATCTGAATATATTTTCCAAGGCCTTCATGGCTGCTTTACTAAGTGCTAGTCTGTGATGTATTTCTTGACTGCTTGTGAAAAGGTCTTGGCGATGGAAGGTCCAAACACCCAAAGAAACTCAATCTTGCTTGAGTTGAGCTGAAGCCTGCTGCACCTATCCAGGACCCTCAGCCTCCAGCCCCTTGGACAAAAAGACCACATTTTTTTAAATTGAGATTTTTGTCTTTCTTAGTTAAAGAACATGACTAATAATGCAAAACATTCTTCTATTTTTATTTATGGTATCTATCTATCTATCTATCTATCCCTATCACATTTACAAACTGCCTATCTTCCTCACAGTTACTGTGGGCATTGTCAAATAAGATATAAAACATAAAAATATAGATAATATAGATATTATAATATAAGGCAGATTAAAACAAGAGTAAAATGTCTAAAATTCAGAATTAAAAAGACAGGGCAGGTCCTTCAAGCCACTAACGAGCCCCATGGCTGTGTGCATCTCTGTGGGTCCCAAGTGAGTCAGCAGAACCAGACATTTCTGAACAGTCAAGAGAATGGGTACCAACCTCATCTCCGGTGGACGAATGTTCCAAGGGGCAGGGACAATGGCAGAGAAGGCTCTCTTCCTGGATCCCATGAACTGGAGTTCTTTAGCTGATGAGGTCTGCAAATACTTTTCCTACCAGACCAGGTGAGATGGGCCAAAGTAATGGGATGAAGATGGTTCCATAGGTAGCCTATCCCAATGCCAGGTACTTCAAAGGTCATAACCAACACCTTCAATAGGACCCAGAAGCAAACTGGCATCCAATGCAGCTTGCACAACAGAGGTCTATAACAGAGATGTTATATGTGCAGTCCTTTATGTGTCCATAATTGCTGGCACAGCCACATCCTGTACCAGCAATACTTCTAGATACTTTTCAAGAGTACCCCAGGTAGAGCACAGATTGTTAGATTGTCAAATTTGTGCACTAGACTTATAAGACAGCAATCCAACTGATTAGTTATAAATGTCCTTAAAGGAACAGCTTCAGGAAATATAATGTGTTTTTATGAATAGAAGATGAAAACTAATTGCAGTCTATTATCTTGCAGTATACCGAGTATGAGCTTCTGGCATGTCCTGCCCTTCTTCTTTGCCACTCATGAGATCAACCAGAATCCAAAGCTGCTACCCAACATCACCCTGGGCTATAACATCTATGAGAACTTTTTCAATGCAAGGATAACATATGAGGTCATGATGGACTTGCTGTCTACAGGACAAGAGAATGTCCCAAACTTCAGTTGTGGAAGACAAAATAATCTTCTGGCTGTGCTTGAAGGGACTGATTCGGAGTTCTTTACTTCCATTTCAACTATGCTGGGCATCTACAAAATTCCACAAGTAGGAATGAATACTGAAGCTAATTTAATTTTGTAAAGTCTACTGATAATCCAAAAGGGGTCAGATAATAAATAAAATGAGTCAGATTACAGAGCTTAAAGGACGCCTGAACCATTCCATTTTCATCAGGCATTCAAATCCCTTTCCTCATTTGTACATATGTTGCATATCTTGGTTTTTTTTAAAGATACACAGATTACACAGAGATTTTTCAACTGAACGAACCTTCACCCATAGCTCAACCGAAGTGCTCTCAACCATATTTTGCATGAAATTTGCATCCTCTTTCCCCACTCTTCTGCCTCTTCTCCCTGTCTTCTGGTCACTGCAGTCTTGGGAGAAAAAGAACATCTTTTCACCCTTATTCCAACTAATTCAAAACAAAATCTCAAGAATTGTAATGGAAATAACATAGATAAATGTTACTTTAAGAGAGTTTTTCCCTACTTGCACCTAAAGACAATGAAAACAAACCCAGCTGACATATTTTTTCTGCTGCGTTCACATGATGTTCCATTTCCCCCAATCTATCATCAAAGCAAATCAAATATATATTTTAAAGCCTTTACAATAAAAGATTACAGCAAAAAGAGAAACACTTTAATACAGCAATTTGTTATTGGGGAAAGGAAAAAAAATAGGAGAATAAAACAGCATATCTAATGAAAAGTTCTGTGCAGTTGTATAATTTGGGAATATAATTGACCAGCTGATATGTGAGTAGAGGGTTAACATCAGAAAAAAAATAGAAGTAAGCACTTATTTTTATCCTTAAAAGCAAAGCAATCAATCATCTTTTCTGTTTCATCTTAGATCAACTATGGGGTCATCAGCCACATTCCAGAACAGAAACATCATTTCCCTTTTTTCTACCGGGTGAGTCCAAAACAAGAACCTCCTCACTTGGCAATTGTCAAGTTGCTCCTGCATTTCCAATGGACGTGGATCGGCCTCACTGCTCCAGATGATGAAAGCGGAGAAAAGTTCAGAAGAACCTTTGTGCCAGAAGCCATAAGGAAAGGTGTCTGTGTTGCCTTTTCAGAAAGCTTACCCATGGTTCTTAGAGCAGGGAGGGAAAAGGACATCCTTGAATATTTTAGTGACACTAAAGTGAAAAGTATTGTTTGCTACTTGAACTTTCATGCCACATTAATACTAGCAGTGCTAATACGAGACATTGAAAAGACAAAAATCATGTTTGGGGGAAAAGTATGGATTGCCACAGCTTTGTCAGGTATAAGCGTGAAATTTTTTTATCGATTGCTTAATCTCCAGCATAACCATCTTTTGCTATCCTTCTCAACTCAGACAAAAAAAAGGACACAGTATTATGATTTTAATTCACATTATTCTGCTACAGTGAAGTTTGGGGAGGCAGCATTTCAATGTTCTTATTCAAGTCCTTTGTTGTCTAAGAAAGTTTGGAACAGCTGCCTGGAAAAAGAGACCTGGAAAATCTCATCCCCGGATCTGGTTGGAAGAATCCTGTCTGAGGATGGCTCCAGTATTTCCACAACAATCCAGGCTGTGGCCTGGGTCCTCAGTGTTGCCTTTTCCTCCCAAATGAGTAAGAGGAGGATGCCTGCTGGGGACCACCAGACACTCCAGATGATACAGCCATGGCAGGTAATGCTTCTTCAAAATGTTGCTGATGGTTCCCTTTCCATTCTTAAATGTTACGTTAAAGATAAGCAGAGATGATGGGGATAACCAACAAAAACTGCCAACATCTGATATTTCTTCTTAGCTGATGAGGAGGTTTACAGAGAGATAAAGACAGAGATTGTGTTTCTGAATCTTCTAGATTAAACCTGGTGTGCTGATTCAGAATGCTTATGAGAATAGGATACAAAATAATACAATAAAAAAATCTGTATGTTCATGTGAGAGGGACAGACAAGCATACAAAGACAGGCAGAAAGAGGGGGGAAAGCATGGGAGAAAGAATGGGAATGGGAGAAAAAAAGAGGGAGAGAATAATTAGAGAGAAAAAAATAATCTCCCTACCACATTTGCAGACAGAAGCACTAGGATAAAGTACCTCTGTTTTGACTTAGTGCTCAAATGAGAATGTATACATTGTAAGGGTGTTTCTCCATGTCTTTTCAGCTCCATCCTTTTTTAAGAAAATCCCAGATTTACAATTTTTCTGTGAATGATGTTTATTTGGATGAGTATGGAATTCCCACTGCTGACTTTAATATCATGGACTGGGCAGTATTTCCCAACAAGTCTGCTGCTGGGGTAATAATTGGGAATGTTGAAAAAGAAGTCTCTTCAGACATCAAGATCTCTGTGGATGAGAGCGCCATCGTATGGCCAACATCTTTTAACCAGGTAACTAAGTCTGCCTCTATGTGGGTTTTATTGTTCACCTGTTCCTATGTATCCATGTGATTTTTTGGTTTATTAGTCTTTTGACTAATAAGCACTGCTAAAAGGGAAGGTTGAAGGAGACACTACTATTTTTCCTGGACTTCTGAAAAGATCTATTGCTTATGGTGAATATACCAACGTTGTTCTGGGGTAGGATAGAAATCATGTTGCTGGCTAACCCAAAGCTGTTTGTACCATGTAAAGAAGCTAAGGAGCATCACAAACCAGGGAGCTGGCCTTTGACACTGAGAGATTTATAGTAGGGCCTCTTACTCAGTGGAATCTTTGGTGCTCTCTGAGTTTAGTTGTTTGTTTGTAGATATTTCCTTGGTTACTTACCCAACTAAATAACATCATTAGTACCTGATGATAGCACTGAAAATGTTATCTAGTCATGGAATGAAATATCTGCAAGCAGGCAATCAAAGCCAGAGAGCATCAAGGAGTTTATAGTTCAACACTGAGTTACAGAGATTCTCTTCTATTGAATCTTATTCAAAGTTTATTCAGAATTGGAGTCTGATTTGAGACTGAGTTGATTATAAATTGAGTTCTAAGAAATACATATTGTAAGAAGGCAGAGGAAATGTTGCGACAGATGGTGTCCTAGCAATTGCTAAGATTTGTTGTTGTTGTTGTTAATTGCGAAGTCGCGTCCGACCCATCGCGACCCCATGGACAACATTCCTCCAGGTCTTCCTGTCCTCTACCATTTTCTGGAGTCCATTTAGGTTCACACCTACTGCTTCAGTGACTCCATCCAGCCATCTCATTCTCTGTCGTCCCCTTCTTCTATTGCCCTCAATCTTTCCCTGCATTAGGCCCTTCTCCAGTGAGTCCTTCCTTCTCATTAGGTGGCCAAAGAATTTGAGTTTCAAGTTCAGGATCTGACCTTCTAAAGAGCAGTCGGGGTTGATCTCTTCTAGGACTGACCGGTTTGAACGCCTTGCAGTCCAAGGGACTCGCAGGAATCTTCTCCAGCACCATAATTCAAAGGCCTCAATTCTTTGGCGCTCAGCCTTTCTTATGGTCCAACTTTCACAGCCATACACTGCAGCTGGGAAAACCATGGCCTGGACTATACACACTTTTGTTGGCAGGGTGATGTCTCTGCTTTTTAGTATGCTGTCTAGATTTGCCATAGCTTTCCTCCCCAGGAGCAAGCGTCTTTTAATTTCTTGGCTGCAGTCCCATCTGAGGTGATCTTGGAGCCCAGAAAAATAAAATCTGTCACTACCTTCATTTCTTCCCCATCTATTTGCCAGGAATTGAGAGGGCCGGATGCCATGATTTTGGTTTTCTTAATGTTGAGTTTCAAGCCAATTTTTGCACTCTCCTTCTTCACCCACATCAAGAGGCTCTTTAGTTCCTCTTCACTTTCTGCCATTAGAGTGGTATCATCTGCATATCTTAGGTTGTTGATATTTCTCCCAACAATCTTAATTCCAACTTTTGTTTCATCTAGCCCTGCCTTTCTCATGATGCCTTTCTCATGATTACTTCATGACGAAGTAATCCTTTGCAGTCCATCCTTTGGACTACATTTTCCACAGTTTTATATCATTGACTAGTTGGCTGAAGCTGAAGTCCAAAATCCCAGGATAATGATGCCTAGACAAGAGAGTCATCAGCTTTTTCTGAACATTGAGGGGACTCTGGAATCATAGACTGCTGAAATGAAACTGCTAGTGGAAACTTTTCACTAAAAGTAAAATATTTTCATTCTATTTGGAAAGAGATCTTGAAAGTATCTTCTTGAATTTATGAACCCACTTTGGTGCTCATTTCCATTTTAAGAAGTAATCATCTCATTCATATGTTTCTCTGAGTTTTTTTTTCTGTTCAGAAGGCACCCTTTTCTAGGTGTACGGAAAGTTGCCTCCCAGGATATACCAAGCTTATGAGAGAGGGAGAACCAGTTTGCTGCTATGACTGTTCTCCATGTATGGAAGGAACCATTTCTGTGCAGGAAGGTAAGTAGTTAAGAACAAAGAAGGAGTACCAGTCTTTTATTCTAAGGACAATATATTAGCAATAGCAATTGAACTTAGATTTATATATTGCTTCTTAGTGCTTTATAACACTCTCCAAACAGTTTACAGAGTCAGCATATTGCCCCCACCAATCTTGGTCTTCATTTTACTGACCTCCAAAAGATGGAAGGCTAATTCAAACTTGAGCTGGTTGGGACTGAATTCCAGGCTATGGGCAGAGTTAGCCTGCAATACTGCATTCTAATCACCACACTGCAATGGCTCTGGTATTAGCAAGATTTGATCTCACATACCAATATACTGAAGTTGAAACTCAAATACTTTGGCCACCTAATGAGAAGGAAGGACTCACTGGAGAAGGGCCTAATGCTGGGAAAGATTGAGGGCAATAGAAGAAGGGGACGACAGAGAATGAGGTGGTTGGATGGAGTCACTGAAGCAGTAGGTGTGAACTTAAATGGACTCCAGAAGATGGTAGAGGACAGGAAGACCTGGAGGAACATTGTCCATGGGATTGTGATGGGTCGGACACCACTCTGCAATTAACAACAACAACCGATATACTACATCCAGATTCAGGAAACAGACCAAAAACACTGCAAGAACTGTTCAGTGAAGGTAGAATTCATCATGATGGATGTTTTCACAAGTTGCTGAAACAATAACAAGCAAACTTGAAAAAGATCGAGAGACCTTAAGAAACATGACAGCATTTGAAACACTTATAGAAAACAAAATTTATGATCAAGAGCCATTGTTTTTGAAATTTAACATGAAGATTGAATAAATAAACATTTGTTTCGTAAAATGGATGCAAAACTTTAAAGAAATAATCACAATACAAAAATGAGAGGACCTTTTAAAAAGAAAAATACAGAAAATTCACTCTATAATTTAAGGGGAACTTGCTTCAAAATGTTTTTCAGGTGTTCTAAAACTACATTAACAATTGCAAAATAAACTAATCATAGAACATTTAATGTTGGAAAAGCCATGACAAGAAGGAACACTTTATCTTCTGTAGTGGTTATACAAAAAACTCAAAAGCATTGGAATGAAATACATAAAAATATTCAGAAAAATCTTATACAAGATGAACCAAAATCACAAATATTCTTTATAGGTATACTTTCAAAAAGAAAAAAAATGCAAAATCTCTCACACTACAAAGATATTTGTTCTGGCAGTTGCAAGAACAAATTTAGGAGAGAATTGGAAAAATAGACATTTTGTCAGTGATGTCAGTTTGGGAGGTCAATTTGGAGAATTTGCAGCAATGACACAATTGACAATACTTACAGCAGTGTTTCTCAAATTTGGCAACATTAAGTCATGTGGACATGAACTCCCAGAATTCCTCAGGAGCCATGGAATTCAGGGAGTTGGGGAATTCTGGCTGGGGAATTCTGGGAGTTGAAGTACACATGTCTTAATGTTGTCAAAATTGAGAAATACTGATCTACAGTGTCCATGATGAAATTTAACCAAATTTTTTAAAAATGGATCTTGGACGTAGAACACGTTGCGTAGCCGGATATATTTAGACCTGTCATGCCTCCTTCGGAGCCTGAATCTGTGGAGGAAAATGAGCTGGAACGGGACCCTATGGAGGTCGAGAGAGAGGTGTCTGTAGCTTCAGAGGAATGTGGGGTAGAGCAGCAGAGGCAGGCTAGGGCCCTTCAGGAGTGGGACAGACTGGACAGGAGAGACAGAGTTCAGGTGATGAGCAAGGGCCACCGTCACCTGATTCTAGAGCACAGAGAGTGGAGAGAACAATGCAGGCAGGCTGAACTACTCAGGAAGAGAGTGTCCTGCCCCTCTCCACAAGGCACACCTGGAGAATGAGATTTAAGGAGACAACTGTGGGGAGAAGCTTTTTTCATGAACAAACGCTGATTCCTTGGAGTTTTGTGTGTGTTGTTGCTGATCTCTTGTTCTATGGACTTCTGCTTGGAAATCCAGAAACTCTGACCCTTGGACTGGCTGATAATGTTGCTTGGATGCTTGTAGATCTTGGACTGTATTTTAGCTTCCCTTTTGAAACTATTTTCAGCTAGAGGTATGTGCGTTTTCCTTTGTTTGGAGGCTTGCCAGAAATGTGGGAGCATTTGGGGAAAATTTGGAGCAATTAAAGAGCGGTTTGAATTTCCATCTGACTGCATTGCCTCTGTGCTATGCCCTGGGTCATCACATGACCTTTTGAGCATGACTTTTAGCTAGAAAGTTGTGAAATTAATTAAAACTAATTTAAGAATTATTCAAATATAAATGCTAGCAAGAATCTTTATAGTTTAAAGTAAAACACACCCACACAAACAAATAGAATATGTGTGGAGGTGGGGGTTGTGTGCTTGTGTGTATTCTACATACAGCTTGGGGAAATAAGAATAGAATAGAGCTGGAAGGGGCTTGAAGGTCTCCTAGTCCAGCCCCCTGCTCATGCAGGAGAACTATATCATGACAGATAAGTGACTGTCCAGCCTCTTTTTAAAGATCTCCAGTGATAGAGCACCCACAATTTCTGCAGGCAAATTGTTCCACTGGTTAACTGTCCTCATTGTCAGGACGTTTCTCCTTAATTCCAGGTTGCTTTTCTCTTTGATCAATTTCCAACCATTGTTTTTTGTCCTGCCTTCTGGTGCTTTGGAGAATAATATGACTCCCTCTTCTTTGTGACAGCCCTTCAAATATTGGAATACTGCTATCATGTCTCCCCTATTCCTTCTTTTTTTAAGACAAGCCAGACCCAAGTCTGTCAGCTGTTCTTCATATGTTTTAGTCTTCAATGCTGGCTCATTGTCAAGTGATCGTCCACTAGGACTCCAAGGTCCCTATCATACTTACTGTTTTTAAGCCAGGTCTTGCCTAGTCTGTACTTGTATCTTTGGTTTTTCCTGCCTAAATGTAAAAGTTTGCTTTTCTCCACATTGAAACTCATCTTGTTGGATAGGACCCATTGTTCAAGTTTGTCAAGATCTTTTTGGATCCTGAGTTTGTCTTCTGGGGTATTGGCTAGTCCTGCCAGTTTAGTATCATCTGCAGACTTGATGAATTCCCCTTCAATTCCCTCATCTAAGTCATTTATGTAGATATTGAAGAGTACTTGGCCTAGTATGGAACCTTGTGGTACCCCACTGCTTACTTCTCTCCATGTGGATGTAGTGCCATTGAGGATTACTCATTGAGTACAGTTTGCCAGCCAGCTATGCATCCATCTGGTGGTATTGTTGTCTATTCCACCTTTTTCTAGTTTACCAAGGAGGAGGTTGTGGTCTACTTTGTCAAATGCCTTACTGAAATCTAAGTATATTATGTCCACAACATTATGCTGGTCTACTAGCTTAGTTACTTTATCAAAGAATGAAATAAGATTGGTTTGGTATGTTTTTAACAAACCCATGCTGGCTACTGGTTATAACTTTGTTTGCTTCTAGTTGTTCGCAGATCTGTTTTTTATTATCTATCTATCTATCTATCTATCTATCTATCTATCTATCTATTTATGAGACTTATATACCCCCTTAAGTGCAAGCACTCTCTAAGCGGTGTACACCAGTAAGCAATGTATATATATATTTACATTGCCCCCAAGAATCTGGGTCCTCATTTTACCTACCCCAGAAGGATGGAAGGCTGAGTCAACCTTGAGCCGGTGAGATTTGAACCGCTGACCTGCTGAACACAGTCAGCTAAAGTGGCCTGCAGTACTGCACTTTTCTGGGATCTTCCCAGGTATTGATGTTAAACTGATTGGTCTGTAATTTCCTGGGTCAGTTTTTTTCCCCTTCCTTGAAGATGGGAATCACATCAGCCCTTTTTCAGTCCTCAGATACTTCCCCTTTGCTTCAGGAGTTTTGAAAGATATGGTGCAATGGTTCTGAGATAACATCTGCCAGCTCCTTCAGAACTCTGGGGTGTAATCTGTTGGGTCCCAATGATTTATATTCATCAAGGTTGGATAGGTGGTCTCTTACCATTTTCTTGCTTATTTTATTTTTTGTTTCTAAATTTGTTTTTTGCAGTGGTTTTTTTGGTATGCTGGGCTATAGTTTCTTTTTGTGTGAAGACTGATGCAACGAATGAGTTAAGCAGTTCTGCTTTCTCCCTTTTGCCTGTTACTCTTTAGTAGACCTACAGTTTCCTTGTTGTTAATATGTTGGATATATGTTTTTTTATTATCCTTGATTTCTGTTGCAAGTCCTTATTCATTCTGGGCCTTTGCTTTCCTGACTTCATCTTTGCATGGTTTGGTTGCCTGCTGATAATCAGCCCTTAGTTATGTGTCCCTCTTTCCATTTTTTAAATTGTCCTTTTTGTCTTTCAGTTTGTCAGAGAGATCTTTGTGCAGCCATGCTGGTTTCTTCTTGGATTTCTTGTTTTTCTTTTTCAATGGTATTGTGATGGACTGGGCTTTTATGATCACATTTTTCAGAGTTTCCCCCACTTCTTGGGTTGTTTTCCCCTTTAGGATTTTCATCCATGGAATCTTTCCTAAGTTCTCTCTGAGTTTGTTGAAATCAGCTCTTTTGATGTTTAAAACACTGGTTGGATTATTTTCTATTGCTAGTGTTTGCATTATATTAAATTCCAGTATGACATAGTCACTTTCACCCCAGGTTCTGGCAACTTCAACTCCCTCCATCACTTCTTCTCTATTGGTAAGAATTAAGTCCAGTATAGCTTTATGTCTAGTTCCCTCCTCCACCTTTTGGATGATAAAATTGTTGGCTAGGTTGGTTAGGAATCTGTTTGATCTCTCGCTCCCTGCAGAGTTTGTCTCCCAGTTGATATCTGGATAGTTGAAGTCTCCCATTACTACTCTGGTATGCTTCCTATATACATTTGTTAACTGGTTGGCAAAGAGTTCATCTATTTCTTCTGATTGGTTGGGTGGTGTGTAATATACACCTATGACAATGTCACTTTTTTCTCTTTTATATTGACCCATATACATTCTGGAGAAGTTTTATCTTTGATCAGGTGCATTTCTGTAGATATGTAGTGTTCTCTTACATATAGTGCAACTCCCCCTCCTCTTTTTGTAGACTTGTTTTTTTTTAACAATTTGTATCCATCCATCAGTCCATTCCATTCATGGGTTTCATCCCACCAGGTTTCTGTAATGCCAACTATGTCATACCCACCTTTGTATACTATTGCTTCTAGTTTGCCCTGTTTGTTCCCCAGGTTTTGAGCATTTGATTTTCCGCAATCATAATTTTGTACTTTATTAATGCTTAGTAATTATTTCTTTTTGAGTTACTCAATTATCCCTATCCAACACAGACCATTTTCCATTACATTTTATTATTACAATAATACCTTATTTTTTTAAAAAAAAATAAAAAAATAAAAAATCTTCATTACTCTATCTACATACATCCTGTTTCTGGTCAGTTGGTCATGATGTCCTGAATGTCACTGAATCACTTGATTAACAAACAGTACTTTGTGTTTTCCAGATGTAGTCCATTGTGAAAAATGTCCTGATGACCACCATTCCAACAAGAAGCGGGATAAATGTGTCCCCAAAGGTATAATGTTTCTGTCCTACAGAGAAAACTTAGGTGTCATATTGGCTGTCTCTGCAATTTTTTTGTCTCTTACCACTGCCTTAGTTCTAGGAATCTTTATTAAATACAGAAAAACTCCTATAGTCAAAGTCAACAACAGGGATCTCACCTACATTCTCCTGATCTTTCTCCTGCTTTCCTTCTTGACTTCCCTTCTATTCATTGGTCAACCCAAGAAAGTGACCTGCCTTCTTCGACAAACTGTCTTCAGTGTTGTTTTCTCAGTTGCTGTATCATCCTTGCTGGCCAAGACTATCATGGTGGTGATGGCATTTCTGGCCACAAAGCCAGGAAGCAAAATTAGGAAATGGCTGGGGAAATCTTTGGCCAATTGCATCATCTTCTCCTGCTCTGGTGTTCAGGTGGCCATCTGTTTCATATGGCTGGGAATCTTTCCCCCATTCCCAGATTCTGACTTATATTCCCAAAAAGGGCAGATTCTACTTCAATGCAATGAAGGTTCAATCACCATGTTCTATTCTGCCCTTGGCTACTTGGGCTTTCTGGCTTCCATCTGTTTCTTGGTGGCTTTTTTAGCCCGAAAACTACCAGGAAGCTTCAACGAAGCCAAGTTGATCACCTTCAGCATGCTGCTCTTCTGCAGTGTTTGGGTTTCTTTTGTCCCTGCCTACCTGAGCACTAAAGGGAAATATGTGGTGGCTGTGCAGATCTTCTCCATCCTGACCTCCAGCCTTGGCTTACTCAGCTGCATCTTTGTCCCCAAATGTTACATCATCCTTCTGAGACCGGACATGAATGTGAAGGAGCATTTAATAATGAAAAACAATGAGTGATCTTGATTTTGGCAGTTATTTTTATCCAAATTATTGCTAGGATAAAATGAGACATTGTGAATTCTTTATTATTTGCTCTAAGAACTCTCTCCCATGTGATTAATTTTACTATCAATAAATAGCATAGTGAAGGTTATTGATGTTTCCTCCAGTAATTTAAAACCATGTTATTTGTCTTTTAATTTACATTACTTCAATATCCTTTCAGTGTATTGTACAAGTTGAATAAATAAGAAGGTAGAATTATCTCTCATCACAATCATTATCACAAATATCATGCATTGAGCAGAGGGCAAGAAGTTACAGTAGTTTGGGATAGATGAAGAAAGAGCTGGTTCAAGAACATATAGAAAACATGGGGTTTAGATATGGTAGTGGAAAATAGAGGGAAAGAAAAAGAAGAAAGACTTTTGAAATTAGGAGGTGTCAACTATTCCACATAGTCCATTCAGAAAAAGTCTCCTGGGGCAGTTTCATTTTCCAAGAATACAACTACCTGAGCTGGCATGGATACAGAAGTAGAAAAGCTTTTCCCCTCTTTTCCTGGCCCATTCACAGTCATTTTTTCCCTCCAATTCACTATGTTTTTTTGTTTGAGTAATGTACTCTTTGTTTAGTAGACTTTCACAGCATTTGACCTTGAGGTGATGGTATAGCTGCACACTTCGAGTTGGTGCTCTTACATTCCTTTGGCTCTCCTCTCAATACCTCACTTACATTCCAATCATTGTCTTTCCTCTTTACTTCTTGTCTGGCTGTGAGTGGGGTTTGCAAAGAGAGTCAAGCTTCAGACATGACAGAAGGCAATTAAAAAGATTATTCATGAAGAAGTGATAGACAAAAACACACGAGGCTTGTTCAACAATTCCAATGAAGCTTATTGGCAGCTGAGGCAATGAAGAGTTGGAACTTTTGCCCCTGTGAACCAGTGGGGAAAGAGTTTGGAGAACAAGATCAAGAGGAAGAAAATGCTAGGATGTGAATGAAAGATCTGATTGAAAATCTGATCCATCTAGCTGCATGAATGACATGAGTGAGAAGAATGGAAAGGTGGTATAGAGAGGATTTATTGGGTTGCTAGACTATTTATTGATCTCAGGTTTCTATAGTACTGTGTTGATACAATTCATGGACTTATAATCACCTTTAGGATTTTAAGGAAAGTTGCCAAATTTGACCATTACAGGCAGGACATTCTTTTTTCTTCTTGGATGTCCCAGGAAGTAGAAAGTCATCCCAGAGAATTTTACAGATGGGACAGGCAATTGAGATTCTGGACTCCAACATACTGGACATATATGCTCAGTGCAGATATCAAATGAAACATCCTAATTTTGATAATTGTAAAGGGAGAAGGAATCACAGTGGACACTTGATGTGACTTCATCTGCAGATGAACCACTGGAGACATACATTTGTGTGACCCATATATATAATTCCAGTTGAAGTGTTTACTTGGTCCATCAAGTGACCATTCAGAAAAGTGAATTCCTTTTATTTACAAAATTATTGTTGAAATGCTAGGGAGGTCCTGGTGATATGCCACTTTATACACTTTTTAAGATTCTATTTGTTTTAAGGACTGAGCATGAAAGACTTATTTATATGTCCCCATCAGTTTACAAAACCTAGGAGTTAATCCAAAGCAACAGCCTATTTTTGGAGAAAGTGCAGTTCTTAGAAAACACAGAAACCTCATAGGCCTACTGTCAACCTTCAAAGAATTTTTACACTGTTTCATCCATTACTGCTTCTTAGTTTGCCTACAGACTCAGGGGGAGGGGAAGGGTGAATGGAATGTGGACTTCAGATATCAAGCTGTCAGTCTGTGAAAACCAAGGTCTCTCGAAAGTTGTCTTCTGAGAACTAAAGACATTATCTCATAACAAGATCTAACACTTAATTGGATAATGTGACCTATATGATTAAGGGGAAGAGAAACTTTTATGGTTTCTTCCTCCTTCCACAACTGATTTCAGCTGGTGTACAGAGAGCAACGTTGAGTCTTAGGCCTCTGCTTTATGAAGTGCTGAAGGCTAGACTCTCTTCCCACTCCTATTTAACATCCTAAATATCATAATAACTGTAGTCAAGAATATTGATTGTCTTTTGTTGGAGATAATGATTCTGACATCCGGCCTCAATATAGGAAGGGGATTTATCCATATCAGCTTGGAGAAAAAGGGGAGGAATTCTTATATTCCCTTTTAAAAAAACTATTCACCCTTTTTAAAAAACTATTCAGTTCAGAAATTCTAATAGAAGATGGCACTGGGGTGGATGCAGGGATTGAGCTATTATGCAATGTGGGTATCCTCCTACACTCACGGCTCCTACTCAAGGAACAGGTGGCAGTCATGGCTAAAGAAGCATTTGCACAGATTCATCTGGTGCACTAATTGTGCCCCTTCCTTGACCATGAAGCCTTGATCTGCAAAATATTTCTCTTACTCTTAACATTGACACTACTTCTCTTCAGTGTGATGATCCACAGGACATGCCGGTTAAGGAACATATTTCCCATACCGAAAACATTTGCATGGTCAATCCAGTTGGATTTTCTTCTCAACTAAACAGTTTGGCATGATAGAAATACTGTTCTTGCATTCCAGGCATCTCAAGAATCAGAAATATTAGAACACATAAAAAGAATTTTATTTCCAAACTATTTTATTTTATATTAGTAATTATTTAGAAAAAAGTACTATTAATCAATACCTCTCAAAGTTTTTCATCCTTAAGTGCTGTTTGGTATTCATGTGGGGGTTCAGAATAATGATGTAGCATTTGGGAACAAAAATGCAGACCAGTAAACCCAAGCTGGAGGCCAGGATGGAAAAAATCTGCACAGCCACCATATATTTTCCTTTGGTACTCAGGTAGGTGGGGACAAAGGAGATCCAAACACTGCAGAAAACCAACATGCTGAAGGTGATCCACTTGGCTTCATTGAAAGTCCCCGGCAGTTTTCGGGCTAGGAAAGCCACTAAGAAGCAGATGGTAGCCAAAAAGCCCAGGTAGCCCAGTGTGATATAGAACATGATGACAGATCCTTCATTGCATTTTAGAAGAATCTGTCCTGGTTGGGAATGCAGATCAGAATCTGGGAAGGGAGGAGAGATTCCCAGCCATATGATACATATACCAATCTGAATACCAGTGTAAGATAAGACAATCGAGTTGGGAAGACTTTTCCCCAGCCATTTCCTCATCCTGCTGGCTGGCTTTGTGGCCAGAAATGCTATCACCACCATGACAGTCTTTGCTAGCAAAGAAGACACTGCCATTGAAAAGACAACACTGAAGGTGGTTTGTTGAAGGAGACAGGTCACTTTCTTGGGGTGACCAATGAATAGAAGGGAGGTTAAGAAGGACAGAAGAAGAGAGACCAAGAGAATATATGTGATGTCCCGGTTGTTGGCTCTGACTATAGGAGTTTCTCGGTTTTTAATAAAGATTCCCAGGACAAAGGCAGTGGTAAAAGACAAAAAAGAGGCGATCAGAGCCAGACTGAAACCTAATGTTTCTTGATAAGACAGAAAACTAAAAACCTTGGGGACACATTGATCTCCATTCTTATTGGAATGCTGCTCATCTGGACATTTTTCACAGTGGGCTTCATCTGAGAAACATAAGTAATTGCTGTGTAAGTAGTGAATCCAGTAATGTTTAACACATCATAACTTATTTACCAAAAAAAGGCAGTGAAGTATAGGTAGAACATTGTTTATCCTAGGTTCCCTGTTTGTCATGCTGCCAATTCTGAACCTAAATGATTTCTATGTTTTGCCTAAACATATATTTCCTATAATTAAATATTTGTCTTATGCTGATAGAACATACTTCAATAATCACAAGAATGACCTAGTCTTAGGAAGACGTATCTGCAACCACAATTATCTGGATCATGGGGCATTTTTAGAGAGAAATAGTTTGATAGGTCACAAGTAGGTTATGTCTTTCAGCAGGTGGCAGGATTTGACAAACTTGATTCAGTTTGTGAGCTAAGCAGGGTCAGGTTTGGTTTATACTTGAATGGGATGTCTTCTTTGGTCTTGAGTCACCCACCTTCCTGTCTGGAAATTGTTCCTTCAATGCATGGAGAGCAGTCATAGCAGCAAACCGGTGCTCCCTCTCTCATCACCTTGATGTATCCTGGGAGACAACTTTCAGTACACCTAGAAAAAGGTGCCTTCTAAACAAAAAATTGGAGAAGTATAAAAATTAAGGTATTGCTTATGAAAATAATTCAGAAGATTCCAATTTAGAAAACTCAAGCATGTAATTTTAATGATTCTTTCAAATACGATGAAAATACTTTTGTCACAAAGTCATTGAAAATACCATCCTTTTCCCCCAAAAGCTTGATTTTCAGCATGATTTTTAGAATAGAATAGAGCTGGAAGGGACCTTGGAGGTCTTCTAGTCCAGCCCCCTGCTCAAGCAGGAGAACCTATTCCATTTTGTCCAAAGTCCACTCAGTTCAGATGGAACTCTGAACATATGCTATGGATACCACATCTCATCATCTTTGGCATGAATGGCCAACAATAAAAAAAAATGGGGAATGTAATACAAAGCAGGAAATGCAAAAGGTTGCCTGCTCCTATCTCAGCAATTGCTAGGACAACATCCACTATAACCTATTGTATCTCTGCCCACATCTGTCTCCTAAATTCAAGTCTTAAAGCAGGATCCGTCATGGAAGAAGCCACCTGCCTTAAAATGGCTTTATTGGCCTGCTTAACTTCCTTATATACAAGTAATATTGGACTAACCAACCACATGATTTCCATCCTGCCCAAGAACAATTCTGGCACCCACACACTTAACAATAGGGATTTTGTGAGTCCTTCATCCCAACCCTTTTTCAACATGGACCCTCCATCAGAGTGGCAAGCCTTCAATTTCAATCTATAGGAGCAGATAAATAGTAAAATGACAATAATAATCACAACTCAGCCACCTGGTTAAATGATGTTGGCCATCTGATGGCACTCTGATTGATGGAGATCTTGACTTCTGAAGAGGTCTCTCTTTCTATATTCCCAATTTTCACTCCAACAGTAGACTTGTTGGGAAACATTGCCCAGTTTATAATATCCAAGTTAGCAACAGGATTTCCATCCTCATCCAAATAAATATTATCCATGGAAAGATTGTAAAGCTGAAAGTTTCTTAGGAAAGGATGAAGCTAAAATGACAGACATTACCTTATGAATCCTAATTCAAAATAATCTGATTCAACTCAGTGCCTCTGTCTGCAAATGTTGGCAAAAAGAATCCAAGTAAGGGTTAACTCTGTCTCCCCTTTTGCTTTATAACTCTGGCCTGATCCCTTTTATGAAGTTGCTATTCTCAGATCACAATATATTTTGACCAGCTATCTGACTCTGGGTAAGCTGGCCATCTCACTATGGCTGATTCCACAATACTGATCTAAAGTGCCAACCATCTTTGGTGATAGATTTGGCTAAAACACCAATATCCCAAATTTCTTTGCCTGGAAGTTTGACTCTACTCTGTCTTTGAATCATCTTCAGCAACCTGATGCTAAATTATTCTATCTTCGTTGGTAGGTGTGCCAATGCAATCTTTTCACTTCATCTCTCTTACCTAACTTTCCCTTCTTCCTCCTCTGCTTGGAGATTGTTCTTCATCCCCTTGTCTATGTCATCTGAAACAAAATCCTCTCCCCCACATCAATTCTCTGTATTATAAGAAGGAAGAGAACTTCAGCAATTGACCTGGCTGTTCCCTGAAGATATTGAGAAGAGGGACAGATTTGAGATGTCCAGATCTTCACAGAAGACAAAGTCAAAGTTGGATGATCAAGGAGAATTTGAAGATTATTGCGACATCCTGGTGGCTATTTAATCTATAGATGTGGAATGGGACTTTCTATTGAGGCATCATTCCTTTTTCTTACAGCATCCTAAACCAGCACAAGTATTCAGTTTAAAAGATGCAGACATAGGAAATCTCCCTCTCTCATTCTTCTCACCCTACATAGAACACACATGAAAAACTGGGAAACTGTACAGTACTCCACCCCATGTCCTGGTCATTTCTTTCCCATCATGAAACTGAAGAATTGAATGGTTTGTCACTAGAACTTTAAATAAGGAAAATCTTACCTGCCATGGCTGTACTACCTGAGATACCAAATGATTGCCAACCTGCATCCTTCTCCGACTCAGATGAGAAGAAAAGACAAGATGAAGAATCCAGGAGACAGCCTGGATTGCAGTGGAAATACTGTGGCCATCCTCAGACAAAATGTCTGCAACCACATCATGGGATGGGATTTCCCAGTTCTCTTTTTCTGTGCACCTTCCCCAAATTCTCTTTGACAACTTTGGGCTTGAATAGGAACATCGAAATGCTGTCTTCACAAATGTTTTTAGAATAGAGAAATATGTATTTAAATCATAAGTTTGTGTCCTTTTGTTTGTCTGGGTTAAGAAGGATAACAAGAAGTGTTTATGCTGGAGATTAACAAATTGATAAAAATATTTCACACCTATGTCTGTCAAAGCTGTTGTAATCCACACTTTCTTTCCAAATATTTCATTAGTCTTTTCAATATCATGTATTATTATTGTTAGTATAAATGAGGCCTGAAAATCTAATTGACAAACAATAACATTTGCTTGGCTGTTGCTAAAATATTGAAGAAGGGCCTTTGTTTTCTTTTTATTTAACACAGGGAGGATTTCTGAGAATGCAACACAGATTCCTTTCTTGGTAGCCACAACTGTAAAAGTTCTTCTGAACTTTTCTCCATTTTCATTGTCTGGAGCAGCAAGGCCGATCCACATCCATTGGAAATGGAGGAGAAGTTTGACAATTGCCAAGTGAGGAGGTTCTTGTTTTGGACTCATCCGGTATGAAAAAGGGAAATGATGTTTCTGTTCAGGAATGTGGCTGATAACCCCATAGTTGATCTATGATGAAACAGAAAAGATGAGTGTTTATCTAGCTCTTAGGAACAAATATAAGTGCTTAATTTAAAGTTATTTCCAAGTGCAAAGGTGTGCTTTTCATGTGTCATTGAGAACCCTACAGTTAATATATGGATAGTCTGAATCCAGTTCAGCAGTATAGTTGAAGTATGGATAGTCTGAATCTATTTCAGCAGTAAAAAGGGGGAATTCTGCAAAATCAATGTATCTTTCAAAAGCTATGCTGTAAACTGACTCCAGAGTGAAGAAAAAATTATTTAGGTGCATAATGGAAAAGTATTATTTTTTAAAAACGTAGCTTGAGCTTTCATTCATACCTGAGGCATTTTGTAGATGCTCAGCATGCCTGAAACATGACTGAAGAGATCAGAATCAGTCCCTTCAAGCACAGCCAACAGATTTTTTGGTCTTCCACAACTGTAGTTTGGGACATTCTCCTGTCCCATGGATAGCAAATCCATAATGGAATCATATGTTATCCTTGCATTGAAAAGTATCTCATAAATGTTGTAGCCAAGGGTGATGTTTGGTAAGAGCCTTGGATTCTGGTTGATCTCATGAATGGCAAAGACAAAGGGTAGGACATGAACAAAACTCACAAACTTACTGCAAGATAAGATATATTAATAGATCTTCATTTTTATATGAATTTTTATCTTTGGCTCATAAAGGCATATCTTTTGGGGGTAACCTTTTAAGGGAATCTATGAATCATCAGCTATATTTCTATCTTTTACATGAACAGTTGAAATCTATTCTGAAGTCATTGGAAGAGTGATGGGAAGGGTCATTCTAAAAACTCATCTGGGTCATCTCATGAAGGGCTGAGGAGGTTAATAGGTTATGAGATCCTCATTCTCACTACATTGCAATGTAGGAAATATAGTCAGATATTTATTGCTGTAAATTGGCCTGTGATTTAATATGCAAAATAAATCTACAAGTGAACAGTTGAGGACTATGTCCAGGAGAAGAGAGACACAGAGAGAGAGAGAGACCGAGAGACAGACAGAGGAGAGAGAGAGAGAGAGAGAGAGAGAGAGAGAGAGAGAGAGAGAGAGAGAGAGAGAGAGAGAGAGAGAGAGAGAGAGAGAGAGAGAGAGAGAGACTGAAGTGTATCATAGACAACATTGTAGGGAATAAGAAGATATGGTGAAAAGGGTTTCCTCTTTGCCTTCAGCTAATGACTCTCCCCGGCATGACTCTATGTTGTGAAGAACCAAGCTCCATCTACCCTACAACTATTTTGTGAGAGTGACAGTAGCTCTCAGGAGTTAAAAAAAAAACCTGTCAAAATGCATGATATGCCTTAAATAGAATAAGTGTTTTCTTTAAAGCACATGGGGAGGGAAAAAAAGTGACAGGGATATTGTACTAGGAAGTGGGAATCTGTACTAAAAAGAAGATGATCATATTCAGTGCACATCAGTAATTACCTTACAAATCTGTTGGTGGGAGGCATTAAGAAACTATATGGTTGAATTACAGAACTGGATGTAGATATGATTCCACTAATCAGATAATTTCCTGGAATGTAATAATTTAACATGTACTTTTCCCCTTCTAACACATTCAGTTGACATCTGATCATCAATGCTGCACAGGGAAAATGGGGCACCAGGAAAAGCAGCAGCAGCAGCATTTTCCATACCAGGAGGGAAATCTGCAATACTCTTTGAGAGAGAAGCCACTGTCTTTGGTCTCAGAGTAGGAGAAGCAATATTCTCTCACCAAAGATGAGAGACACCCTGGCAGCAAAAATGGAGAGAGAAGCATAAAATGTCATGCTAGCATAGGCCCCTGACTACATAAATCCATCTGACATTCTTGAAGGAATGGAATTATTTTCAGGATTTTTATATGAAAAGTTACCAAATATTTGTTAAGTACTGTTGAAGGGAAATTGCTAAGTATTCTCAGTTGGCTTTCTGAGCAGGTGAATTCCAGTGGATTTTCTGGAAATAGAATAAATCACCATCATTTTGTTAATCATAAAGAGAGAGAATTGATATAGTGGGTTCTCTATAAGAAATCTCTGTGACCCATGGGCATAGTTGAAACTTAAGTTGTTTATGTGTTCCCTCAAGGGACCGGTTCTGGAAAGTTTGACTGCTTCTTACTCACCAAAGTGATTCTTGAAATACTAAATGTTGCAATATGCTAAGACAAGTGAACAGTTTTTAACTAGCCACTAAAAACATTAAATTCTTTGCTACCTACTTCTGGTATGGATGAGGCCTCTTCCTGTATTTAGGACAACTCCCTGGAATATCTGTGTTCAGGAGGTGATACATTAGTCTAATTACCGGATTAGACTAAAATATCACCTTTAAATACCTCCTTTTTTTGAATTCTGCAAAAACAAAACAAAACCAGTCACATTTGATGTGTGTAGTCACCATGAAGGCTTGGCCCATTGCAGAAGTATTATGTGTTATGACAAGATAGAAAATTATTTAACTTAACTAATTTACAAAAAAGATGGCTTATGCCTATGTAATTGTCTAGAAAGAGTATGGAAGTACTTTGTCTCTCTCCAATATGTTTTTCTCAACTTCCTAGTCTAGCATATAGCCCTAGTCTTTTCTGCTAACGTCCTTTCAAGTAGTCACCATGCTTGCTTCTGACAAATCAGTATTTCATCTTCTGGGGTAGCTAAAGTACTACTAATTACTTGGGTACTCACAGAATTGTTCCACTAAGGAAGAACCTGAACTGTCATTAGACCAATGTGAACTGCTTTGTCTTGGATCTCCCCAAATTTTCTGTGTGCAAAACCTGAACCTAATCTTTTGAAGATTGCATGGTGGTACACATTGTTGTCAATGTCATAGGACTCAAAAGACAATGGCTTTTTTTTTGTTTCACCTTTCAGCTTCCATTCAACAGCATGCTTCATAGCACTTCATGGCTATTGTCCATTGATCATTTTTGACTCCATAAATATTTCTTTATCTATTTTACAATCATGCAACTTAGGCCTTGACCAAGTACAGTAAAAAGATATTTTGAAATATAGTCACAACTTGACCCATTATGTTTTTGCAGCTCATTAACTCCTATATATAAATCAGAACATCAGATTCATGTTCTTCTGTGAAGCAATTGACTATTTTCAGGGTTGATACAGACAAGATATGTAACTAATTTACTACTTAATTTATGTTTCATCACATATTTTAGAGGAGGTTTCTAGATGCAATGAGTAGTGGTCTCATTAGTGGATACTAATTAGATGTATTTAGACCTGTTCATCACATAACATGGTCTATAGGGTTACCGTATATGCCGGCGTATAAGATGACTTCCGGAAGCGCTAAACTCGGCGCCAAAGACGGGGTTCGTCTTATACACCGAGTCGTCTTATACCCTGGAAATACTGGTAGTTTCCGGTGTATAAGACGACGTTCTAGGAAGGCGACTTGGCGATAAAGACGGGGGTCATCTTATACACTGGGTCACCTAATACGCCGGCATATATGGTACCTTTTCAGATTTTCTTAACTCCTTCACCTTCAGCCATTGTTGATATTGCACTAAATTAGCACCATCTTTTAGTCCCCTACTAGGAAATCTATGTAACTGACAGCAAAAAGGATCACATCATAAACAAGTCAGTAAAAGGCTATTTTTCAGATTAATGCACTAATGGCAAGCCAATGCAAATAAAGCAAAACACAAAATAAAATCCAAGGCATCGCAGCAGCATCCAGGAAATTTTTACCAGATCTCATCTCTAACCTTGAAGACTGATAGTCTTCCCTATTTAGAAAGATAGAGGTAAATTTTTAACAGGGGCTTCTGATGAGGTTTTTTTTTTTTTTTTTTTACAACTTATGGAGATAACCATTCTGGAATATCCAACCTTCTTTGAGGAAAATTATCTCATTTAATAAGAAATTCTAATGTCCCTACCGGCTAGTGAAAAAGTGTTCAATTGTTTTAGCACATTGCAGAATTTAGAATCAGGAATAAGTTTACGGAGTAAAAGGCAAACTTCCCTGAATTGTTCCCTTCCTGAGTCTTAAACTAGAACTATGCCCTTGAGTCATGCAAAATTGTTTTTTTTTCCCCAACTGCATACGTGTTACAACTGTTCCCAATTCCCTTTCTAATTATCAAAATTATGGTTATTTATTCTATTTTAAACAAAGTTTATGGCATTTCCATCACTACCATTTGTTGTAAACTGATGTGATGGAAATGGGATATACAACAATTGAAAATCTGACATGTATCCAACTTGGGCTCTGCTGAAAGCTGGATGTGATAGAATTGGGCAGGGATTTTGCCAGTCTGAAATTGCAGATTTGTCTACCTTGATATGGGGCCAAGCTGGACCATCTTCACCGCAGTTGTGCTCTTTTGTGAGCATTGAGATCCAACTCTGTGCCAAAGACACAACTATAGGAAGAATCTCCATCAATACATGTTAAATGCTGCTGCTGCTGCAAATACAGTTTTTTCTGCTTCAACTTCTGTCCAAATTTCCCTGTGCCACAATGCTGATAAAGTGTCCATTGAAGGTGATAATAGAAGAAAAAAAGGAGTTTAATTACTACAAGCCAGGAAACTACCTGATTAGTGGAATAACATCAGGAATGATTTCTCAACTATATCCATATGTTTTCTCCAAGCCACCAAGCCACCGATTGAAAATGTAATTTTTTCCATGTACAGGGTTCTGGTTATTTTACATGCTCTAATGCATTTTTTCTAGGAATACTTTCCATTCCCCAATTCCTCACCAGGTTATTATTTTCTCCCAATTTGCTTTAGGAAAAGGCTTCTGAAGCACATCTCTCTCTCTCTCTCTCTCTCTCTCTCTCTCTCTCTCTCTCTCCCTCTCCCTCTCCCTCTCCCTCCCTCCCTCCCTCTCCCTCTTCCTCTCCCTCTCCCTCCCTACCCATCCATCCATCCATCCATCCATCTATCCACCCACCACCCACCTATCTGCCTGCCTGCCTGCCTGCCTGCCTGCCTGCCTGCCTGCCTGCCTGCCTGCCTGCCTGCCTGCCTGCCTACCTACCTACCTACCTACCTACCTACCTACCTACCTACCTACCTACCTACCTACCTACCTATCTATCTATCTATCTATCTATCTATCTATCTATCGTGGTGCAGTGGTTAGAATGCTGAACTGCAGGTTACTTCTGCTGACTGCCAGCTGCCAGCAGTTCGGCAGTTGAGTCTCACCGCTTCAAAGTTGACTCAGCATTCCATCCTTTCGAGGTCAGTAAAATGAGGACCCAGATTGTTGGGGGTGCAATATGCTGATTCTGTAGGCACTTAGAGATGGCTATAAAGCACTGTGAAATGGTATATAAGTTTAAGTGCTATTGCTATGATGATTTCGCAAAAGTTAAGCATGCAAAGTTCCTTTTAAGTTTCTCCACAAAAGTCAGCCTCAGCAAAACTCTCCCAGGATGACTTTTTTCTAGGTAGGCTTCTGCCTGTTCCCAAAATTATTACTGTGGAGAGTCAGCAAATATTTATATTTATTTATGCCATTATACATATATAATGGCATATCTCACAGTCAAGTGATCCAATATTTTTGAGTAGAAGGAGACCTCTTAAGGCTGTTTCCCACCATCTCCTCTTTTATATCTCTGCTCTATCCTTCCTTCCTCCTTTCCCAAGCTTTCATTCCAACCAATGTCTTTTACATGTTTTCTAAGCTTTTATGACTCCCATTTCACTTTTTGTTTAAATAAAGGAATACCTTTTGAAAACCAAATTCAAGCAAAATAGAGACATAATAAGCTAATGGTTTGGCTGGAGAGGAGAATATTAAAGATTCTTCAATATAGTGCAATAACTCCAAAGCCATCAATATCCTGTAGCAAAACAGTCTCTTGGACTAAAGGTGGCTTGTTGAGAAGTGGACCATCTCCAGATGAGTAATACACCACACTTGCTCAAGAGCTAATTCACCACTTGAATCCAGAATTAGTCACCTTCTGAGTGGTATAATGGGAAGAAATAATATAATGCAATGATGACATATAGCTATACTTGGTAACACCCCCTTTTAGCATTCTGGAAGACTGTGAAGATTTGGTTCTTTTCCCAAGCACTGGGATGGGGAATTGAGCTGTGATTGAGATATCCGGATTGACCTTTGAAGAGAATGGTATCTTCTTTTAACTATTATGGATTGTTGTGAGACTCCTAGAGTCATAGGTAGCCCTGTAAGACCTGTAAATAAAATAAACAAATGTTTGGTTTTGCAAAAGTTTATTTAAACAGACTGAAGCAATTATAGTTAAGAAACTTCTCCACTTTCTTTTGCTAGTTTTCCCAACTGAGTTAGTAAATGTATATGGATTATTTTCCCAATTTTACCCTGCTCCCCCAAGTCATAACTTGGAGAAAATTATAGTTAGGATCAGCTCTGGTGATTTTCATAGGATTCCTCTGATCCTGATATACCAAGTTCACCATAACTCTTTGGTGTTTGTTTTGGGAAGAAGCTTCAGTTGGGATCAATTGGAGTGTTGCTCTAATAGAAATCTCCAAAGATGTCTATCACATGGAAAAGGCAAAAAAAATGATTCAAAAGTTTCCTGTTTTTTAACTGAATGATGAATGTATGATTAGTTTTTCAGCATTGCACTATATAGATACAAATCTATAGATACAAATATAGCATGCTTTTATGAATTGATAAATGAAATCTAAATTAAAAGGATGAACTCTGAATATCTGTTATGTTGCAGTGAGTTGATCAGCTTCTACCATATCCTGCCCTTTCTTTTGACTGTTCGTGAGATCAACCAGAATCCAAAGCTCTTACCCAACATCACCCTGGGCTACAACATCTATGAGAACTTTTTTAATGCAAGAATGCTATATGAGGGCATGCTGGACTTGCTGTCTACAGGGCAGGAGAATGTCCCAAACTACAGATGTGGAAGACAAAGAAACCTGCTGGCAGTTCTTGAAGTGACAGATTCTGAACGGTTTGATCATCTTTCTGCTGTCTTTAGCATCTATAAAATTCCACAGGTACAAATCTAAAAGGGACTTAATTCTAGATTAGCTCAGAAAACAGTACTCATATATATCACCAAATAAATTTAAAGGCAGAAAGCAGTTATTAAAAGACCTGAAAGAACTTTATTTTCACAAAGTACTTTTTTTTAAATTTCATTCCACAACATGGCTTGGAAACTAAGTATTGGCTTTGGAACTTATCCTCTTCCACTACTGAAGAACTTTTTTTCAAAGGAGCAAAATAGCAAGTAGATGAACTCTTAGTAGAATGTTTATTAAAGTTGGGCAAAAGATGGAGAAATGTTAATGCACACAAACACTTGAAGAAAAGAACAGGTCGAATGTGGCCTGTTGCAAGAATGAGTGTTTGTTGAAAAGCCTAAACTAGGTGTACAAACAAGTGTACTTCTGTCCACTTTGGTAAATGAAACTGTGAGTGGAGGTTGTCACAAATATATTAAAATGAGTTGTAGGCCAGGGCTGTTGGGAATTTTGTAAGAAGGGTATGTCAAACCAAAAGAAAGAAAGTCAAGAATGTATGAGTGCTGAATAAATTTATGTATGTTAATGCAGGGCTGAATCACTCTCATAATCAGGAAATTCCTTATTTTTTAAAAAACAAAAGTATTGTCTGAAGATCAAATAGCAAAATAAAGATATGAAGGAAAAGTGAATGGGTCAAGGAAGACCATGGAATGACTTATAACACATCCAGACAGCAGCTTTAACATGCTTCCATTTGTCCTCATGACAATCCAAAGGATGTCATCATAAACATATTTTCTCATATAATGAACAAGAGCTTATCACAATTTCAGCATCCTTGGGTCCTTTAGAATGAGGTTATTAAACATGCCCTTCCAAATCAGATGTCTGAGTCTGTTATTACTAACCAATTAAACAGTTTAGTAATACATTTTTGAAATGCAGAGTCCTTGGTACTCTCTGAGTGTGGTTGTTTTCTTGTAGACATTTCATTATTCAATGCACTGATGATGTTACCTAGTTTGGGTAATGAAACATCTGCAAGAAAACAACCAAGCTCAGAGAGCACCAACTATCCCTCATTTCAACTCTGAGCTATAAAATATGCTCCTTTATTGGTAAATTTTTGAAATCAATTATATAAAAATAATGAAATAATATTCAAACAATAAATTTGATGGGGTGGGATATACAAAACAATATTTCAATTCTACATATGAAGTAATCAAATAAGGAGTAATCTATGAGAAATAAACATGCTTGTCTATTCAATGAAAGAAAAAAAATTCCATAAGAAGTAGCATCATATGGACTGGGATTGGAGTTTAGGCTAGTTCTGAAGCTGAAATTCTGGATTTAGCCATAACTAACAATCTGAATGGGATTCTCTCTCTCTGTCTCTCTATTTCTCTCTCTCTATTTCTCTCTCTCTATTTCTCTCTCTCTCTCTCTCTCTCTCTCTCTCTCTCTCTCTCTCTCTCTCTCTCTCTCTCTCTCTGTCCCTGGTAAATCAGGTGAGTTTTCTGTTCCAAAGTATTAAGATGTTCATATCTATTTGGATTATTTGCTGACTACTAACTATGTGGGTGACCCTTAGAGTTTTAGGGCAAATATGAGTCTTAGTTGTTGGCAACAAAATTGCCCCACTGCATCCACTCTATTAGTTGCATGGGTAGAGTTTCACCAGAAGGATGTACTTGCATGAGGTTCATCCATGAGGATCACTGACAAATTAGGAGAGAGCTCCCTAGCATCAAAGGGAGTGATCAGGACAAGAGATGAAAAAACCAGGAGAGCTAACAAGTTTCATGTAGGTATTGTTTTCTGTAAACGTCTCTCAGCAGTGGCTCTTACATTTAAACATCTGATTTTTATCATTAAAAGTGACACAAACTACCAATGTATTCTCTTTCATCTTAGATCAACTATGGTGTTAGCCACATTCCTGAGAAAAATCATCATTTTCCTTTTTTCTACCGGATGACCCCAAAACAAGAACCTCCTTGCTCAGCCATTGTCCAGCTGCTCCTGCATTTCCAGTGGACATGGATTGGCCTCCTTTCTCAGGACAATGAAAGAGGAGAAAACTTTAAAAGAAGCTTGGCAACTCTAGCTATAAAAAACGGGGTTTGCATTGTCCTCTCAGAAACAATCCCTGCAACAAATAAGGATACAAGTCTCGGAAAAATGTTTATGAAAAGAAAAAGGCAAAAGCTTTTTTTCCTTATCAATAGTCAAATAAAAATTATAGTTTGTCAATTGGATTTTCAGGCCACAGCGATGCTATCAGGACTAATACAAACTTCTGGAAGGAAGAATGCATTCGTTGGGGGGAAAGTGTGGATTGCAACAACTTTGACAGATATAAGTATAACAATGTTTTACTATGGGGTGGATCTCCAACATAAACATGCTTTGTTTTCCTTCCTTACCCACACAAAGACAAAAAAACAATACTATGACTTTAATTCATATTCTTCTGCTGTCTTTCAATTTGGAAAGGAAGCATTCCAGTGTTCCTACTCAAAGGCTGTGAAGTCTAAGAAAGTTTGGGAAAGATGCAAAGAAAAAGAGAACTGGGAATTCCCACTCCATGACATGGTTGCAAGAATGCAGTCTGAGGATGCCTCCTCTATTTCCAAAGCTATCCACGCTGTGGCCTTGGTCCTCAATGCTGCCTCTTCCTCCCAACTGAGTACCAGGAAGATGCAAGTTGGAGACCATCAGTCGCTCCAAATTGTACAACCATGGCAGGTAAGACTTCTTAAAGGTTCCACTGATGCTCCCCTTTCAATACCTTAGTATTAAATTGGGAATACAAGGGATGAGAGATTCTAAATACCAGTTGCCCTGTTTGCAGTATTTGAGAGTGTTGAGAAAGAGATTATGTGGATAAACCTTGCAAATTTAAACTATCTGTCTGATCTGGGAATCTATAATAAAAGAGATACTTCCATAGTGACAAGGCAGTTTTCCCCATTTACAAATTAAATATGCATCAGGATGCTTCATCAATCTTCAGTTCTCATCCCAAGATAGCACATGCTGATCTTGTCTAGTTGTCAAGCCAAGAAGTTAATCCTAACTTTGTATTTTGGATTACTTCAGATGCCTCAATAGTTAGTCTTTGAAAGAGACAACTTTGCTATGAAACCTTTGTCCCATTCATAGCCCAAAGCTAAGCCCCTCTAACTTCTTATAGATCTGAACTAGAGGGCTTCCAAGGTCCCTGCCATCTCTGTTATTCTATGTTCTGTGTTTAAGCCTTCAAATATCTCAAATTGTCCTATCTCAGATGGGGTTGTGGTGGTGAAGCAGCAGAAGCTTGGAATTCTATTATCCCCTTTGTGGGGGTATGGACAAACCCTCTCACATCTGATGGACAGTGCCTTCTTTATATGATTTTCTAGGTTTAGACAACAAGAGAATCTGACACTCAGTATCTCCCAATGGAAAGTAGTAGTAGTAGTAGTAGTAGTAGTAGTAGTAGTAGTAGTAGTAGTAGTAATAATAATAATAATAATAATAATAATAATAATAATAATGGTGGTGGTGGTGATGATGATGATGATGATGGAAGTGATCATGGAGGTCATCTAGTCAAACCCTCTGCTCAGGCAGGAAACTCTATATGATTTCAGACAAATGACTGTCCACTCTCTTCTTAAAAACTTCCAGCGCTGGAGCATTCACAGCTTCTGGAGGCAGGTTGTTCCATTGATTAATTGTCAGAAAATTTCTCCTTAGTTTTAGGATGCTTCTCTCCTTGATTAGTTTCCATCCATTGCTTCTTGTCCTGCCTTCAGGTGCTTTGGAGAATAGCCTGACTCAGTGGTGGGATTCATCTGGTTTGCACCAGTCTGGCAGAACTGGTAGCTGATTTTTTGTTGCCCAAACAAAAAATCAGCTACCAGAAGGACTTTCCAGAAGCAGCATCCACACAGAGAACCAGTTGTTCACATATTTGAATCCCACCATTGTCTTGACTCCCTCTTCTTTGTGGCAACCCCTGAGATATTGGAACACTGCTATCATACCACTCCTCGTCCTTCTCTTCATTAAACTAGACATACCCAATTCCAGCAACCGTTCCTTATATGCTTTAGCCTCCAGTCCCCTAATCATCTTTGTTGCTCTTCTCTGTGCTCTTTCTAGAGTCTCAACATCTTTTTTACATCATGGTGACCAAAACTGAATGCAGTATTCCAAGTGTGGCCTTACCAAGGCACTGTATCAACACTTCATGTGATCTTGATTCTATCCCTCTGTTAATGTAGCCTAGAACTGTTTTGGCTTTTTTTGATAGCTGCAGAACAATGCTGGCTCATATTTAAGTCATTGTCCACTAGGACTCCGAGATCCCTCTCACAGTTAGTACTATTGAGCAAGGTACCACCTATGCCAGGGCTTTTCAACCTTTTCACCGATTGTACCACTTTTAGGATATGGCAATATTTGAGTACCACCTAGCAAGGTGTCAAAGACTTGATGACCAAAAAAAAAAAAAAAAAAACCCCAACAACTATTCAAAGTTGCAATTGCACTGAAGTGACTTGTGACCATTTTTCACACTTATGACCACTGCAGCATGCCCAGGTTCATGTGATTTATATTTGGATGCTTGGCAACTGAAGGAAGAATTTCCTTTCTTCTGAAGGAAGAATTTGAACCCCCCATATTTTTCCTCTTCCATATATTTATCAAACAAGGAAAAGGAGACAGAAAAGACAAGCCACTGAGGGAACTAGCTTAAAAAGGCACATTCCCCTTTAAGAATTAGCTACTGGCTAGAAAGGAAAGTTAAGGAGCCAGCAGCCGACACTTAAGGAAGAAAAAAAATGTAGTAAGTACTGGCTGCTGGTTAAGACAGCCTCCCCAAATGGCTCGGTTCATAAGTAAAGGAATGTTACAGGCAAAATCCATTCAGGAGAAAAATACTTCAAAATCCCTTGCAGCAAAACTTACAGCTAACAATAGCAGAGCAATAGAATCTAACATGAGACATCAGCCATCAGCCAAATAGAAATTGCCAAACACTCCTTAAGAACACAAGCCCACATTGCACAAATCCCAGAACTTTGAAGTCACAAAAGCACATTAGAATCCTTCCACTCTCCCGGTTTGTTGTTCAGCTGAAATGGCACTTCGTTTCTGCCCTTAAATATCTCCTCTCGAGCAGCCGGGGCAGCAGCAGCTGGAGGTTTGTTTCATCTGGTCTATTTCAAACGGCAGCCCCACAAATACTAGAATACTGCTATCATATCACCGTTATTCCTTCTTTTTTTAAATTAGCCAAACCCAAGTCCTGCAGCCATTCTTCATATGTTCTAGTCTCCAGGCCTTTGATCATCTTATGTTGCTCTTCTCTGTACTTTTTCCAAGGTCTCAACATCTTTTTTGTAGTATGGTGACCAAAATTGGTTGCAGTATTCCAGGTGTGAGCAAGGGAAACAAAAGGAGAGCAGGAGAGAAAGAAGACTGAGAAATGAGAGAAAACAAGAAATAGCAGACAATGAGACAATTGATAAGAGGCAGAAAAAGAGACCAGTGAGAAGTATCCATAGATATAAGGAACAAAAGAGTGAATAACAATGTGAGAAAGCAAGGCAAAAAAGCATCTGGAAGGGAGAATAATAAAGACCGTGTGACTGAGCAAATCCTGTAAGAAAGATTATCTGTGGAATGAGTGGATACCAGGAAAAATAGGCTAGGAGAGCAGATGTGTCTGGCTTTGGGAGTGGGGTGTAAGGGGAATTTCCTACTAAACAAGCAGAAAGAAAGACTTAATCCACTACACAGGTCATGTTCTGATAGGTTGCTGAAATTTAGGTTTCGTCCTCTGTGAAGACTCTCCTCCATTGCCACTTTCCCTTCCTGCAGCACACAGGTCTATGCATGTTTCCTTCTCTCAGACATTGTAATCAAAAAGGGAAGGGAGATGGGTACACTGACAGGTTCACTGAAGAAGGTAGCACAATTCATGGTGCAACAGATGACAAAAAGATGAAATGGGGTTAAAGTTAGGGCATCAATGAGTTTGCTGATACAAGGAGTGGTGACAAGAAACTCTATTTCTTTAGCACTAATCTCTATGTTCCCACATTCTGGGATCTGTTCTCCTTCCTAACCAAGTTCATTCTGTCTTTTATTTCTTTGGATTTGCTTTGTTCCTCCACTCCATCAAAGCTTCTGTTATTTGTACAATCACCAAAGGTCATCTCTTTCATCCTTCCCTATTTCCTACTAGGCTTGCCACATTCAGAGCTGTGTCATCTGAAGGACAGGGGAGAACTGAAATAGGATGCAATGTGTAAGCTATTTACAGTTGGTTTGATCTCCAGAAAGGAACCATTTCAGAGAATAGAAAACAGAGTATGATTTTGTGCTGTCTGAGTTATACACATGTACAAACACACATAAGCAGGATTGCTCTAAAAAAGTAAAGCATAAGAAATCAAGAAAATCTCATACAGTATCACAGAAAAACTTGGATCTGATGACATTCAATCAACTCTTGAAATTTCAGCATTATGTAATTTTGCTTTTTGTTCTTGCTGTTAACATTATGATGCTAAACTAGAACTTTGTAGGAGAATGCAATGATTCTTTCAAGAAAGTAAAAGATATAGTAGATGTGAAAAAGATCTGGTATTCCATAGAAAAGTAGGGACAGAAGCTTAAAATCTGGAATCATCCTCTTGCAGACCAAAGTGCTGAGTCAAAGATGTTGAATTATTCAAAGTAATTCCAGTCCAGAATTATAGCCATAGATACATTGAATAAGGACTCAGTGTATACTGTATGTGATTTTCTTTGTCATTCAGCTTCATCAGTTCATAAGAAATTTCCAGCTTCAAAATATTTCCAGGGATGGAATTTATTTGGATGAAAATGCTGACTTTCATATCATCCACTGGACAGTTTTTCCTAACAAGTCTACTGCTGGGGTGGAAATTGGAAGTGTAGAAAGAGAAGCCTCTTCTGAAGTCTATGTCTCCATCAATCACAGTGCTATCCAATGGCCAACATCATTTAACAAGGTAGCTGACTCTGCTTCATTTTGAGTCTTCTATTTACCTCCACATATGAAAACTTTTCTGCTCAGAAATAACTCTCATTGAAGACAATTGAGATAACCTCCAAATAAAGGAACCTAAAGTCCCATTAATTCATTAGCTATCATGTGTCTTTAGGTGTATTTCAGTAGTTACCACAATCTGCTATACCACTAATTGTTAAACTGGAATATAACACTATAATTAATGGCCTATCATACAATCTTACTGTCAATAAGAAAAAAATCCAGATGTTAAAGAGAGCAGCCCACTGAATTGCACAAGAGAAAAGTATCAAGTTGAGAATGTGATGGGGTAAATGGGCGCAGTTGAAAAAAGGCAATTCATAATACAATGTTTAGCCCCAGGGGAGAAACATAGGGACTTTTGCAGAGATAAAAAATGTCAGAGTTTGGGGTTTCCTGCCCAAGCAAAGAAGGAGAGAATGACAGAAGATATAGCATTCCCATATATGCCTTAAGGAGAAACACCTTTTGCAATGGAACCACTTTCCTATGAATGGAGAATAAGACAAAGGGAATGTTTCTGGATTGAAACAGAAATTGAACCAGAAAGAGAATCATCTTTATTTGCTACTGGCACATAATGTCCTTTTCCATAAAGGTCCATGTTAAAAGTTGTGAGATATGCAATAAATGTACATTTTGTAATTTTCCATTTCTGCTTAAGGAATAGGCATGTAGAGGCACTTAACTAAGGTACTTTTAGAAAAGGAAATGTAGTAAGCTGGAGGAACAGAAAGAGACTATATACACCAGTGGTGGCAAACCTATGGCACGGGTGCCAGAGGCGGCACTCAGAGCCCTCTCTGTGGGCACACGTGCCATCGCCCCAGTCCTAGGCCTTCAGCTGGGTTTTATAAAACCTTTTCACTTTAGGACTGCACTGCCATGTGCAAAAAAAAAAAAAAAAAGGTTCAATCAGTCAATTTCAACTTCTCGCAGGAAAAAAAACGATCTTGCAAAGTTGGAATTGATTGATTGAACTTTTTAGTCCCACCCAGTCTGCCATTACCACCGCAGCCACGCACAGCCAATGGGCCACACCCACCCAGCACTCGACGATGCATAAGTGGGTTTTGGGTTGCAGTTTGGGCACTCAGTCTCTAAAAGGTTCGCCATGACTGATATACACTGACTCAAAGCATACTTTTAGAATAGTGCACACTACTGTAGAATAGCATATAGTTTATGAATGACATATTATCCAATTTATATAAGGTTTATTCTTTATTCAAACTACCTAAAGTTAGTATTTTAAAGTATTATATTAACCAAAGAACAACCATGTTTAACTGAAGCATGAACTCTGTTACATACATAGCTTCTGGATGAAAAACATGCACTCTTACAGGAAACATAAATAATTTGTAATTGCTGAAATTATATAGTTTAGGCAAACAGGCTCATTTTATAGATAAGCTATATCCTGAGTTAGCAAGATGTCATGAATCATGCCACAGACAAGGAAGGGGAGATAAGACATGAGCAAAGGGGCTTTTGATCATATAATTGGAGGGTCTGGTTACTAGGCGGTAGAAAAGCATATGACCAATCAGACCTATCAATTAGGTCTAGAAAGGAAGGATGTGGTGTAATTCTACGGGACAGGGTATAATAGTTTATGCTGAAATGATTCAAGTGTGGCCTCTTGGACATACAGAGGTACACCAGCCTTTGCAAACACTTTTAATAAAACTTTGTTTTGCTTTCCAACAACTTTGGAGTTGAATTTTATTCCTCATAAATGATATCTCCAAAGCCTAGAATGGAAAGGAATGGTGGTCCCCATCAGTAACTGCTGTGCCACTACTCCTTGGCTGAGCTGGCTCACTGTACTACCTGGCTACCAGAAACCTATTCCTTGAAATAAAACCTGTTGTTGTTGTTGTTAACTGCAAAGTCGTGTCCGACCCATCGCGACCCCATGGACAACGTTCCTCCAGGCCTTCCTGTCCTCTACCATCTTCTGGAGTCCATTTAAGCTCACGCCTACAGCTTCAGTGACTCCATCCAGCCATCTCATTCTCTGTCATCCCCTTCTTCTATTGCCCTCAATCTTTCCCAGCATTAGGCCCTTCTCCAGTGAGTCCTTCCTTCTCATTAGGTGGCCAAAGTACTTGAGTTTCAAGTTCAGGATCTGGCCTTCTAAAGAGCAGTCGGGGTTGATCTCCTCTAGGACTGACTGGTTTGATCACCTTGCAGTCCAGGGGACTTGCAGGAGTCTTCTCCAGCACCATAATTCAGAGGCCTCAATTCTTTGGCGCTCAGCCTTTCTTATGGTCCAACTTTCACAGCCATACATTGCAACTGGGAAAACCATGGCCTGGACTATACGCACTTTTGTTGGCAGGGTGATGTCTCTGCTTTTTAGTATGCTGTCTAGATTTGCCATAGTTTTCCTCCCCAGGAGCAAGCGTCTTTTAATTTCTTGGCTGCAGTCCCCATCTGAGGTGATCTTTGAGCCCAGAAAAATAAAATCTGTCACTACCTCCATTTCTTCCCCATCTATTTGCCAGGAATTGAGAGGGCCAGATGTCAAGATTTTGGTTTTTTTAATGTTGAGTTTCAAGCCAACTTTTGCACTCTCCTTCTTTACCCGCATCAAGAGGCTCTTTAGTTCCTCTTCAAATAAAACCTACTTAACCCCAATTCATAGGTTGCCCTAACTGATCTTTATTTTTATGTTTAGATGGTGCCTTCTTCTAGATGTTCAGAAAGTTGTTATTCTGGATATGCCAAGCTCATGAGAAAGGGAGCACCAATTTGCTGCTATGACTGTTCTCTGTGTATGGAAGGAACATTTTCAATGCAAGAAGGTAGGTAGCTCTGGGAAAAAAGTGAAATTGAGGATGCAATCAATATTCACTCTTGTTTTTCTGGGCAACAATTACTAAAGTTGTTTACTTTCCTACCAGCTGTAGATCTAATTAGGAACATAGTAGTTTCATAATTCTACAAAGCAATAAAAATTAAATTTCTCAACAGCATCCACAGACTTTTCAAGGATTGGGTACCAATCATCCAATTTTGTGTAATGATGTGGCTTTTAAAATACATAATAAAAGGGAGATGAAATTTCTCAAGTTGTTGCCTTCTTACCTGGTTTCAGGAAAGAAGACACATTTTGCGAGAGTTGATAGTCTCATTGGTTCCTCAGTCTTTAAAACAAGCAATGATTATTTCTAATTAATGTTGGGACCTACACATTTTCATGATTCTACCGCTGTAGAACTAGACAGGTGATATATATTTTTTTTCAGATGCAGCCCATTGTGAAAAGTGTCCAGATGGCCAGTATTCCAATAAGAAGCGAGATCAGTGTGTCTCCAAAAGTATAAGCTTCTTATCCTATGAAGAACTGTTGGGATTCATTTTGGCTTTCTTTGCCATTGCTTTGTCCCTGATCACTGCCTTCATTCTGGGAATCTTCATTAAATACCAAGAAACTCCCATAGTCAAAGCTAACAATCGGGACCTCACCTACACTCTTCTGATCTTCCTCTTGCTTGCTTTCTTGACCTCCCTTCTGTTTATTGGTCATCCTAAGAAAGTGACTTGTCTTCTTCGGCAAGTCACCTTCAGTTTTGTTTTCTCAGTTGCCGTATCTTCCTTGCTCGCAAAGACTATCATGGTGGTAGTTGCATTTTTGGCCACAAAGCCAGGAAGCAGGATGAGAAAATGGCTGGGGAAAACTCTGGCCAACTCCATTGTCTTGTCCTGTTCTGGGTGTCAAGTGGGAATCTGCATGATATGGCTAGGATTCTCTCCCCCATTCTCAGATTCTGACTTGCATTCCCAACCGAGACACATCTTGCTGCAATGCAATGAAGGCTCAGTCATCATGTTCTATTCTGTCCTTGGCTACATGGGCTTTTTGGCTGCTATCTGTTTCTTTGTGGCTTTCTTGGCCCGAAAGCTTCCAGGGACTTTCAATGAAGCCAAGTGGATCACCTTCAGCATGCTGGTCTTCTGCTGTGTTTGGATCTCCTTTGTCCCCACCTACCTGAGCACCAAAGGGAAATACATGGTGGCCGTCCAGATCTTTTCCATCCTGGCCTCCAGCCTTGGCTTACTAGTCTGCATCTTTCTCCCCAAATGCTACATCATTATTCTGAGATCTGAGTTGAACACCAAGGAGCATCTAATAAGAAAAAAGAATGAGGGCTCCCAATTTTAGAGAATATTTTTGTATAGCTAAATTTTATTGCTTACTTTCATTATAACATAATATGCCTTGGTGGTAATTTTCTTTTTAGATATTCAAAACAATCTTTGTCTGCCCATGTGAGTTCTGAATTATAATGTGTAACTACAAGTACTCCTCCGTTAGCAATCATATGTACAGCAACTGTTCAAATTTGGAATGGTGTTGAACAAGTTGTACTTATGACAGGTTCTCAAAGTCAACAGTCCCCAACCTTTCCAGCTTGATGGCCTGGCCTGGCACAGAGAGGGGCATGTGAGTAGCAGGTGCACATGTGCAGGCACAGCTCTATTTGTGCAAATGGCACCTGTTAGGACCCTCCACTCACACAAATGGAGTGAGCACATGAGTGAAGAATGCTTGTGCTTGCGCACAAAGCTCCACTTGTACAAGCAAAGGGCTCTTGAGCAGAGGGTGCTTGTGCTCGCATGTGAAGTTCCATTCACATAAGCACAAGCACCCTCCACTTGTGGGAGGGTAGCTTCAAGTGCTTGCGCTTGCCTATCTCTCCTGCAGCCTAGTTTTGAACAGGCAATGGCCCGGTAGTGGGCATTCCAGCAAGCCCACAATGACATGATTACAATCTGGTTGCTAGGCACGTAGTTCTCCCTTACAATGATTGCAACATCCTGTAGTCCCATTGTGGGGGGAAATGCATGCGCAGCAAACTGCCATGTTTCCCCCCCCCCACAAACCTCATAACCTTTTGATACCCTTTGTCCCAGTGCAGCAGCCAGAAGGTCATCCCCTTTTGACTTAATGCCTCACCTACCTAAACAGACAATATGCTTAGTTCCTTCTCCTATCTTTTCCTGTTTTTGTTAGTTCCTTCTCCTGTTTGTTCTTTACCTGGTCTTTGATCATGTAATGTGTTACTAGAAAATAGTTGCTTACATGAAGACATTTTCCAATGAAATGTCTTCTTTGTCAGCATCTAATAGTTAAGCTGGTGTATGTAACAAGTATATAAGAAGCAATAAACTCAGAGTTTGTCAAGCTGTGTCCTGCAGTTTCAAACCTCTGCTCAAGACATGCCTGCGTCTTTTTCTTAGCATCTTACACCCATGATAACCATTAGCAAACTTCCCTGCTGGCTTTCCATAAGCAAAGTCAATAGGGCAGATGGTAGGGAAGGTTGCAAGTTAGTCTCACAACATTTCCCCCCAAGCAGCTTCACTATGGAGTACAAGATTCACAGATCTTGTTCTTCATAGTGTGCACTTGGGATGCAGCATCCTATTACTTGCCCAGTTGTACTTGTGGCTCAAATCAGCACTCCTTCCCCATCTCACATGCACTTGTGTTGTGCGATAGCAATCTGTCCTCAGCCTGCATGCACTCATGCTTCACTTCACTTTTTCTCCAACAGGCACAGTATCCCCACCCCACCTTACTCCATAGCATTCACCCACTCACCTGCCTGTTTACAAGCCACCCAGGACTTTTGACTTCCTGCCAGCTTCTCCATTGACTTTGTTTGAGGGAAGGGTGCAGGAAGTTACAAGTTGCTGTCATTTGAGTTCTTTCCTTAATGACTCCACAATTCTCACTTAATAACAGTAATGAGTACTGCTAAGATTGCCATCACTAAGCAATGTAATCACAGGACATCATACCTGATGATCATATCACTTAGAGACAATTGGCTCAATTACTGTTGTTAAGCAAGAACTATCTATAGTGAGATTGAGGAAGTAATCTTCAGAAATCATCTTCTTTGAAACAATTGCATTAAAAGCACATGGCAAACTTATATAAGTTGTCTGAAATCAGTGTAGATAAACTGTCACTGGGAAATTTTAATAATCTAGTTTTTAGATTAGTTGAACATCTGTTATTAATGAGGATGTGTGTTTTTATTGGTGTCTCCTTACGAATAGGGCATTCTTTCTTCTCATTTAATATCCACATCTTAAATGATAGTCTTGGTCTTCTTTTGAACTTTAAATCTATGAAAATATTGGAAGCACTTGGTGTTAGGTTGTGGGCATAACCACTGAACTATTCAAGACAGAGCAGCACAGAGCAGACTCTGGATGATTTGGTACCAACCTGTGTGGCTAGATGTTAGTAGTGACAGAATGTCCATCAGACACCTTTTCTTGTCTTCAGGATCTCCACCTTGGCAGAGATAGCAATGATTATTTGGTAATGTCTGACCCAGTGTTTCAGAGTTTCTAGTCACTGAGTGTTGGTACTGAATAGCATGGGAGGTTGTTTAGTTGATGCGGTAGAGGAACAGCTTAGATTTGGGGGCTGCTACAAACTTTTTTACATGGAAGATAGGCCATTGTTTGTTCCTGTTGTCATTTTTTTGTGCATTTTGGCTTTGTTGTTTTTATCAGTTTTTATCGAGCAAGTTGGAACATTATAAGTCTTCATCATTCTGCCTTGATGTGGATGAGGATTTTGTTAGGAGTTCTTCCTAAATTCAAGTGAGATTCAAGATTCTCTAAGTCATCCCATAGAGGCAGCAAGCAAGGAGAAGACTCTCGTTGATCATGGGGGAGGGGCAGATCTCCCATTTGATCTGAGGAAGCCCTCCAAACTGGCAGAGGAAAGACTGGCTGCATTCGTATCGCCAGTCCTAAGTGACTGACAACAGAAGTCAACAAGCACTACCAAACAACTTTACAGCAATGTGGATGAAACTGGGTGAGACCTGATCCTTTCTTTATGATTTTAAGACCTCTTCCTGACAATCTGCCCAAAGCACTCCCCCTGATGAAAGAGGGAAAGGGAATTTCTGCCCCGTTCCTTCAGAAAAGAAATTAATTACTTGGGGGAAATGGTGAAACCCATAAGACCTATTTGGAATTAATATATACATACAGCGTGAAAATTTGGGGACTAAAAATGTTTTCAAGACTTTTTTTTTAAAAAAAGAGGAAACTGACTTGAAAAGTTTACAATATAAGTTCTGGATCTAAAAACTGAAAAGTGGCGTTGATGACATCTAGTGGTGAATTATGGCACTACAACTTATTTATGCCTAAAAAAAACCTGGCTTGAATCCCAGAATTACAAAAGACTTTGGCTGGCCTTAAATGCTTTTACACTGAGAATTTCAGCTGAGAAAAAAGGAACAGGCTTGGGGGCTGCTTATCTGGGTGGCAGAGATATTAAATATTCTAAATTTGGCATGTCTGAATTTTGAATATAAATACTGACTTTCAGAACTGTATTGTGGAATTATTTTCTTGTAAAAGAAACATATGAAACACTTTGAATTATAAATCTTCAGTGGTTCTTTTTTCTCCCTGGACAGAAAGGATATATTTCTTATTGGACAGAAAAGTTTGATTTTTACCTATATCTGCTTAGGGGAGACTCAAGAATAGACAGTTGGTTGGATAAATCTATAATGACTACTTATAAAAAAATAAAAATAAAATAAAATGAGTGTTCCATACTCAGCATGACAAGACTCAGATAAATGAAAACTCGGGGAACACAACAATAATACTGGAAACGGAAAAGACATTTTATGAACCAAAGTTTCAGAACATACTGGATGACAAGGAAGGAGAGCAGATGGAATGGAAGATAAAATCATTAACAGAACTGTAGGGAACTGGAGAAGGAGGGAGGTGATTTAATGAATATCAGTTGGCTAGCTCTTCTAACAATACTTTAACCAAATTGTTTCTCTTGTTCCAAATAATATATACAAAAATAGAGGAAGAATTATTTGATGATCCAAACGCACTGACTTGAAAAGTTAGTTGGCAAAGAAAGAATGCTAGAGTAAGATTGAAGGAAACAGAAGCTTTGACCTATTAGAGGGAATGCCATATTTTTAATTAGAGGTTTGAATACGGTTAAGAATAGATTGTTAGAGATAATATTATTATAACTAGATAGTTAGGATTTATAATTAGAATATTATATCTTGGTATGAAAAGGAAAATAAGAATATCTTAAGAATTTTGAATACGAGATGCTTTTGGTTGCCCAAATACAACTTGTTTCAAAATTAAAAATGCTTGGGATACCTTGAACATGGATGGGAAATTAAAATTGAAAAAAGCAAAAATAGGATATGGATTAAATAAGAGGAAATTGAATGCAAATGCAATTAAAATATGCTTTGACTAGAAAATATATTTTAAACTGATATTTTTGATAGTATTAGAAAAGTGTAACAAATGTTGATATGCAATTGTATGTTTACTAACAATAATAAGAATTGTATTTGCTTGATGTGGAAAAATGGTTATTGCCAGAAGAAGAGAGGATGTACTGGTGGGTGAAATAGTGGACTTAGCTGGAAGAAGCTTATATGCACCACAGAATTACTAATGGACTCAATCATCACATTGTCTATTGAGCACTTGTATGTGAAAATAGAAAATTAATAAAACATTTATAAAAAATAAAAGAAAATCATGAGCAGAAAAGTTGTCATGAGGTTTATCAAAAATTAAAATATCAAGTTGCCCATTAGGAGTATTTTTTTCCCTTTCCTTTTGAAACATGTTGGTTTTGGGATTTGAGATGATTAAAAGCAAATAAGAATCAACTGAAAGCACATTCAGGGAAAGCCAGGTTTGTAGGATTTCTTCAGCTGTATTATACCTCTACTATTGCTTAATGATTTCCACTCTTTTTTAAAGATGAAGGGTGGCAAATCCAATAAATATTTTATTTAGAAAGAGGCCCTGCTTTTTTAAAAAATTAATGGAGGTCCCCATAACTTATCTTTATGATTGTTATATATATGATTCTCATAGCCAAAAACATCTGTTCTCCTCTGTTTCTCTCACAGGAAATGAGTGAAATCCTAGATCCAAACTAAGCCAAAACATACATATATATACACACACATACACACATACATACATACATACATACATACATACTTCACATATCTAGGAACCAGAAGTGTGTGACTCTTGCAAAGGAATGGCAAGATTTTTCATGATGTGCAAACCATCTCTTTTCAGTTAACCCAGAAGTAACTAGGATAGGTAAGAAGCTACAATGACAGAAATCAAAATTAGGACAATCTAGAATCCTGACTTAGCATAATGAGTGAAATTGATCAGTATGTGAATAAAAGACCTACATTGCAATTGCATTTGGGAGGGCTTTGCTTTTCCAGTGCTTTCTGAATATCCAAAGACAGATAGTGTAGAAAGCAGAGGTAATGGCATTACTAGGACAAGATCAAATATAAGTAGTACTGACTTACATGACATAGCATTCCTAATCTGTTTTCCATTAGACAAAAAAAAAACAAAGACAAAGAAAAGACACATGCACACACAAAAAAAACATATATTTAAAGGTAAAAGTTTAGATTGGTATAGGTAAAGATTGCCTCTGTCAGTCTTGCCCAACCGAAGGACTGGTGCTTATCTTTGATTCACAAACGAAAAACCAGCTTTGTCTGAAGATGATTTCATGGTCATATGGCCGGCATGACTATACACCGTGCAGAGGTGCAGAGGACATTGTTACTTTCCCACTGAACTGATATCTATTTATCTACGTGCTTTCGAATTGCTAAGATGGCAGCACACACAAACACACACACACACTATAGGTATATGGAAATGGATATGGATATGGACATGGATAAAAAACAGGAATCCGTTTTAATACTTCTCATAAGCACACTTCATTGTCACATCAGGTGTCTACATGACTTTTTTCAGAGTTGTACATATTTTTCTTTTGATTGAAGACACTCTAAAATAATAATTTGTCTCATTAATTTTTTCAAAAGTATAGAGAAAAAAATAAAAGTTGCTCACTGTTCATGTTGATATTTTTTCTTAATATATAGAATGTTATCTCTCTCTCTGTTTCTCTCTCTCTCAATCTCTCTCATTTATCTATCTATCTATCTATCTATCTATCTATCTATCTATCTATCTATCTATCATCTTACATTATCCAGCCAGAAGAGACCAATCAAATATATATTTCAAATTAACAATTTTTTAAAGTCAGAATATCAACCCCCAAAATAAAATATAACACCAACATATATAGCAACAAAAAATACATCATCATTAACCATAGTGTTTAATTTAATCTAAAACTATGTTAGAACATCTCTGGTAACATCTCTTGCCTGGTTTCAGAAATTTTATTAATGTCATTGATGATACTTATGATTTAACATGAATTCAGATTGTGGCAATTGAAGGATATGATTATTTCAAATAGTTTGAGTTGTTTTAGCAACTTTACTACTCAATTATTATAATACAAAATTCACATGGAATGAAAAAATATAAGCTACAACACATAAAACATGACTTCAAAGTATGTGATGTTATACTGAATGTAAACTGTACAAAAATAAAGACCAACATCAGGAGACTTATTGATTTTTTATCATCAGATTTTCTTTGGTGTTCATGGCAGGTCTCAGGATAATAATGTAGCATTTGGGTATAAAGATGCAGACAAGTAAACCCATGCTGGAGGCCAGGATGGAGAAGATCTGCACGGCTACCATGTATTTCCCTTTGGAGCTCAGGTAGGTGGGTACAAAGGAGATCCATACACTACAAAAAACCAACATGCTGAAGGTGATCAGTTTGGCTTCATTGAAACTCCCTGGCAGTTTTCGAGCCAGAAATGCCACCAAGAAGCAAATGGCAGCCAGAAAACCCATGTAGCCAAGGGCAGTGTAGAACATGGCAACCGAGCCTTCATTGCATTGCAACAAGATGTGTCCTGGTTGGGAATGAAAGTCGGAATCTGGGAATGGGGGGTAAATTCCCAGCCATATCATACAGATGCCTACTTGAATACCAGAGCAGGATAAGACAATAGAGTTGGCTAAACTCTTCCCCAGCCATTTCCTCATGCTGCTGCCTGGCTTTGTGGCCAGGAAGGCCACCACCACCATTACCGTCTTGGCCAGCACAGAAGACACAGCAACTGAGAAAACAATACTGAAAATGGTTTGTCGAAGAAAACAAGTCATTTTCAAGGGGCGACCAATGAATAGAAGAGAGGTCAAGAAAGAAAGCAGGAGTGAAACCAGGAGGATGTAGGTGAGTTGACAGTTGTTGGCTTTGACTATGGGAGTTTCTCGGTATTTAATGAAGGTTCCCAGAATAAAGGCAGTGGTCAGGGACAAAACAATGGCAAAGAAAGCCAGAATGAATCCCAACAATTCTTCATAAGATAAAAAGCTTATACTTTTGGGGACACACTGATCTCGCTTCTTATTGGAATGCTGGTCATCTGGACACTTGTCACAGTGGGAGGCATCTGAAAAAAAATTGTTAGCATGTATCTGTTTCTGCAGCTGTAGGAGCATGAAAACCACAACAAAAATCAATTACTTCATTTCCAAGGAATAATATAATATTTCTGCCCAGTGATATCCATATGATACAACATTTGTTAAAATAGTCAACATTCTTTTTTTAAAGGCTAAAGATAAATGAGATTATCAGCTCTCAAAGACTTCTCCTCTTGCCTGAAACCAAACAAGAAAATTACAACTGAATAGGAATCAACATTTCATTATTTATTTTAATGTTCACATCATCATACAAAATTTGGTGATCGTGCCCAATCTTAGAAAAGTTTGTGGATGCCTTCAAGAAATTTAATATTTTTCTTGCTTCTTTATCAAATACCTTTAAAAAGCAAGAGAGAATATTGATTATATCCTGATTTTTTCCTTTCTGTTTTTTTCTTTTTGGAGCCACCTACTATACCTTCTTGCACAGAGAATGTTCCTTTCATACACAGAGAACAGTCATAGCAGCAAACTGGTGCTCCCTCTCTCACAAACTTGGCATAACCTGGGGAGCAACTTTCTGTACATCTTGAATAAGGCACTGTCTAAACATAAACAGAAAGATTACACAGGGCAATATATGAATTAGAAGGGCTTAGTGAAATCAACTGGTTTCCAGAAGCTCAGAAGCACACTGAGCAAAATCAGTCAAGGACTGGTGGCATGGGCTTTAATTAGTCTGCTTGCAAGTGGCAAATGAAAGGTGATTCTCTTTCTCTATCAATCTCTATTGCAGATCCCAAAACAGACTTGTTGCCTTATTCTTCTTTCCAAAGGAATGTAGTTCCATTGCAAAAAGTTTTTCTCCAAAATTTAGCTTTCTCTTGAGTCCTTATCTTTCTCTTATGCAATTCAGTGGGCTAAGTTCTTCATATTCTGGATTTTCGCCCAAAGGTGCTTTTTCAAAAGGCAACTGGTCTTTGTTTTCCCTTGAAGACATTTTGCTTTTTCATCTCAGAAGCTTCTTCACTTCTGACTGAATGGTGGAGGATAAAAGGATTTATATTCCTTGCAGTCATCTGGTCATTAGCAGTCTTTCTGAGAGTTGTTAAGGTTACTTGGAGGGTCACCTGAATAGTGCAAATGGATGTGGAACCTTGGAACTGCTGAATCTATATCCTGTTTACAACATAGTCCTTCAGCAGTTCCAAATCCTTCCATCCTCCACCATTCAGTCAGAACTGAAGAAGTTTTTTTGTATGAGAAAGTAAAATGTCTTCAAGGAAAAGCAAGTTCCAGGTGCCTTTTGAAAAAGCACCTTTGGCACAACAATGATCTGGATGACTGAGAATCTCCATAGATTTTGGATTTTCTCTTACTGAAAACAAGATGATTTCATATACTGTAAATTATGGCTTCCTATTCCAATTTAATAATGTAGATTGCAAATCCCATAATACAATTGATGATACAACAGGTTCCAATGTGTGATAGATTACTGAAAAACCTCTAAAATAAAATGTTATCTAATAAATTAATGAGGCTTATTTGGAAGTCATCATAATTGACTTCAATAAGTATTATTTCTGAGCAGAAAAGTTTGCACATATGGAGGTAAATAGAAGAGTAAAGACCAAGCAGCATCAGTTACTTTGTTAAATGATGTTGGCCATTGAATGGCACTCTGATTGATGGAAATCTTGACTTCTGAGGAGCCTTCTCTTTCTACACTCCCAATTTTCACCCCTGCATCAGACTTTTCCCAAAATGATGTCCAGTGCATGATATCAAAGTCACCAAGAGGAACTCCATTTTCATCAAAATAAATCCCATCTCTGGAAATATTGTGATGTTGGAAGTTTTTCAGGAACCTATGAAGCTGCAGAAACAGAGAAAAAACATTACAATTTGAGTCTTTATTCAATGTTTTTCTTGTCATTATTCTGGACTGGAAGTACTCTGAATAATTCAACCTTGTCAGATCACCTCTACAGTCTGAAAGAAATTGATTCAGCATTTCATGGAATGCTTCTCTCATCATTCTCCAGGGCTCCACAGCTCTTTTTCAGATATTTATCTCACATTCTTGAAAATGTGGGATAGACAACACCACCACCAGATGGTTTATAACTGGCTGACAAATCGTACTCAATGTGTAGTCCTCTAGAGAACTACATCCATATGGAGGGAATAAGCTGTGGGATACACCAAGGTTCCATTTTAGGCCCAACTCTCTTCAATATCTTATTAAAAATCTAGATGAGGGAATTGAAAGGGAACTCATCAGATTTGCAGATGATACTCAACTGGGAGGAATACTCATCTCCCCAGAAGACAAGCCCAAGATCCAAAAAGATCTTGACAGACGTGAACACTGAGCCCTATCTAACAAAATGAAATTCAGCATAGATAAAAGTAAGGTTTTGCACTTAGGCAAGAAAAACTAACTGTATAGATATAGACCAGGTGAAACTTGGCTTAATGTCTGTAACCGTGAGAGGGATCTTGGAGTCCTAGTGGACAATTACTCAAATATGAGGCAACAGTGTATGGCAGCGTCAAAAAAGCCAATGCAATTCTAAGCTGCATTAATGGAGGGATAGAATCAAGATCATGTGAAATTCTAGTATTGCTTTACAAAGCCTTAGAAAGAACATAGTTGGAATACTGTATCCAGTTTTGGTCATCATAATTTTAAAAAGATGTTGAAACTCTGCAAAGAGTGAAGAGAGGAGCAGCAAAAATGATTAGAGGGCTGGAGGCTAAAACATACAAAGAACAGTTGCAGGAATTTGGTATGTCTAGTCTAAGGAAAATAAGGACTAGGGGAATCATGATAGCACTATTCCAGTATTTGAGGAGCTCCTACAAAGATGAGGGGGTCAAACTATTTTCCAAAGCACCAATGGGCAAGAAAAGAAACAATGGTGGAAATTAACCAAGGATAGATGCAACCTAGAACTAAAGAGAAATTTTCTAATGGTGAGAGCAATCAACCAATGAAAGAGCTTGCCTTCAGAAGTAGTGGGTGCTCTATCACTGAGCTTCAAAAAGAGACTGCACAACCATTTTTCTGAAATGGTATAGGGTCTCCTGCTCAAGTAGGGGGTTGGACTAGAAAATGTCTGAGATCCCTTCCAACTCTTTTATTCTATGTTTTATGTTCTCCATTTTGTTGTTTCACCATCACAGCCCCATCTGCAGCAAGACCATTTAGAGATATGGGAAAACTTGTAATGGGAGAAGATGGAGAATACAATTTTACCATCAGTCCTGATCAATATGAAGTTAGCAGAGCTTAACTCCGGGCTAGGAATGCAATACAAATTGCATAGTGATGTTATTCCTTTCAAAGACTAGCTATGGAAGCCTATGCATTAATTCAGGAGATGTGTGGGTGAACTTTTTGTGGCCCTCAGAAGATGCTTTTAAAAGACATTGATTTCTATCTTGTTGCTATGTTAGAAATCTTTAGTTAGCAAAGTCCAATTTCAATCCAGAACAAACAATCAAGCCTAACTCCTTAGCTTGGAAACTAGATCACTTTGTGATCACAAGAAAGGGTTGAGCATTGCTGAAATATTATGATACTTATTTAATTTTCAAAATCACATTGTCACCATAGAGCTATTTCTGTCACAAAAGCATCCTATACCAATACAGTTTGTTTAACTTTGGAAGATTTTTCTCCATCATCTTGTTCTCAAACTCACTCTCAAATACTACAAACTGGGCAATTGTTCTTTGGAATATTCCACCCCTCTCTACATCTAATTTAATATTGAGGAGTTGGAAGGGGGAAATCAGTAGAACCTCTAAGAAGAAGACTTACCTGCCATGGCTGCACAATCTGGGATGATTCATAATATCCAGCTTGCTTTCTACTCTTACTCTGTTGGGAGGAAGAGGCAGTACTGAGGACCCATGCCACATTTTGAATTACTTTGGAAATACCGGAGGAATCCTGAGAGAGGATTCTTGCAATCATATCATGGGGTGGGAATTCCCAGTTCTCTTTTTCTTTGCATTTTTTCCAAACTTTCTTAGATAACAAAGGACTTGAAATGGAACATTGGAATGCTTCCTTTCCATACACTGTGACCATAGATGTATAAGATTTAAAGTCATAATACTGAGTCCTTCCCTTTGTCTGGATGAGGAAGGAAAACAAAGCATGTTTATTTTGGAGATCAACCCAGAGGTCAAAAATACCTACACTTAAAGCTGTCAAAGTTGTTGCAATCCACACTCTTCCCACAATGAATATATTATTCTTCTCAACCACTTGTATTACTGATGTTAGTATCCCTGTGGCCTTTAAATCCAGTTGGCATACTATAATTTTTATTTGACTCTTGATAAGGGAAAGGAACATTTCCCATTTTTCTTGCATGAGGGTGTCTCTAGCACCTGTCTTCATATTTGCTTCTGGGATGGTTCCTGAGAGGGCAATGCAAATCCCATTTTTTAGAGCAAGAGCTTCCAAGCTTCTTTTGAATTTTTCTCCTCTGTCATTGTCCAGAGAAAGGAGGCCGATCCACGTCCATTGGAAATGCAGGAGCAGATTGATAATCGCAGAGTAGGGAGGTTTTTGGTTTGGGGTCATCCGATATGAAAAAGGAAAATGTTTATTTTGCTCAGCAATCTGGTTGATGACACTATAGTTGATCTAAGATAAAACAGAAGGTATTGGTAATTTGTGTCAGTTTTAATGATAAAAGTTGCATGGTAAATCTAAGGGCTTTTCCCTATTGCTGAGAGAAGTTTCAAACAGTAACTGCATGAATTTTACTGGCTCCCTTGATGTTCTGTCCTGTTGTCTTGTATGCTCCCTTTGAAACTAGGGAGCTCTGAATTATCTGTGGGTGGTGTTCATGGGTGGTCCTGATGGAGTGCATCCCTCTGGTCAACCCTTATCCATGTAGTTTTGCTTGAGTGATGGAGTAAATACAATGCGGCACTTTTGCTGTCAATAACTGACAAACTAACAAACGTAAAATTCTCATAGATTATTACCGCTTATTTGATTGCTTCATATGTTGGACTTGAAATATTGTTTGTTATATCCCCCCTAGCAATTGTTTAATATTGGTATATTATTTCATTGTCTTCATTCATATAATTGTTTTCAAATATTCCTATATGAACTCTTTAATTGGTTGAATTTGTTTCAGATGTTTGAAATGCAGAAGTCTGTTTAATAATCTAACTTTAAAAAAAACAAAACAAGACAACTGGCATTGTGCCAAGTTCCAGTTCAAAATAGGAAAGAATATTATGACATACTTTCTTTTGTCTTGTACACTGGAGAAAGTATGTAAAAGCTGCTTTCTGGAGGTGCCCTCAAGCTGTCTTGACCTATTCGTTTTTCTTTCATATCTTTCTTTCCCAATTTTTACTTCAGTCTCAATTATAAAAATGAGGAATTCCTCACTGAAAGTTATTAAGAGTTGGAAGAAGAACAGACTGAATGGAAAATAAACTTTTTAGGACAACTGTGGGGAACTTGAATAATGGGGAGGCGATTAAAGAAATATAATGGGGCCAGTTCTTCCCCAAAAATTCTAATTAAATGGTCAGTCTGAAAGAAACTAAGGTTTTGATTTATTAGGGGCAATTTTATACTATTGATTAGAAGGTTAAAGGTGGTCAAATATAGATATTTTTTAGAAAATAAAATAATATTATAACTGAATAGGTAAGGTGTAATAAGATTAATAGTTATTTGGTTGACTATGGTGAAATTTGTTTTAAAATAGAATAAGATTATATGCAAATAGATAAGATGTATATTTAGAATATTAGATTTTTTTTACAAAAAGGGGAAAATGTAGAAGTTGAGATAAGGGAAACTCTAGTTACCTAAAGCTTAGAAACTATAACATATCAAATGTTAAGTTGAATATTCAGGGGAAATTAAAGCCTGGGGTAAAAGCTATAGCAGGACATTGATGTATATAAGATTGAATGTAAACACAATTAAGATATGTATAACTTCAAAATATTGATAAATGTTATAAAGATGGTTTTACTTAGTTGATAACAATAAGAATTATATTAATTTTAGTTATTAAGGGATAAAGAGATGAGATATTTGATGTTGAGATTTGTGCTAAAGATTTATGTATGTTATGGAATCATTGATTATCCAGTCACCACGTTGCTTTTTAAATGTTTAATTGTAAAATTAGAAAATCAATAAAATATTATTTAAAAAAGAGTTGGAATACCCTGTCTTCTGGAGCTCCATCACTGGATATTTTTGAGGAAATATTGGACAGCAATTTATCTGTAGTAGTCTGACCATTCTTGGCCCGTGTAGGGAGTTGGATTTTTTTATTCTATGATTCTGTGTCCAAAGCAGCTTTTTTGTATTGGTCACTCTTCAGCTCTTCTGATATTTATTCTATGACTCTCAATTTATTTGGAAAAATATAGACAAGTGCTGCCTTCTAGAATTAAGGAATTAATTTCATTTGGCTTTATACCTGTGGGATTTTGTAGATGCTCAAGATATTAGAAATATGATCGAAGAGTTCAGAATCCACCTCTTCAAGGACTGCCAGCAGCTTCTTTTGTCTTCCACATCTGTAGTTTGGGATGTTCTCCTGCCCTGTGGATACCACGTCCATCATGGCCTCATATGTCATTCTTGCACTGAAAAAGTTCTGATAGATGTTGTAGCCCAGGGTGATGTTGGGTAAGAGCCTTGAATTCTGGTTGATTTCATGAACAGCCAACAAAAAGGGCAGAAGGTGGTAGAAGGTGTTCTCACTGAAACATAAGAAATTTCCAAAGGTCATCATCTTCAATTTGGGTTTTCATAAAAGCATGTCATATTTACTGTAGCTTTATAGCTATATAGTGCAGTGCCAAAAAGATACACTCATTATTTAAGTAAATTATTCACTTTATTTGGCCTTTGCGGGTGATAGATATCTTTGAAATTTCTATTAGAAGAACAGTCCCATTGACACCACTAGGAGCTTCTTGCCAAAAGAAATAGGGAGATATAGTAAGCTTCTTATGTCAGGATCAAAAGAATCCTAGGCACCATATTAGATATGCTTATAGCTCACAACCTAGCACAATGCTTGAGGGAAGATCTGTGTCTTCCCAGTCCTCCAGAATGCTAATGAGAGATGCTACCAAGTATACATGTATATGTTGTGATCATATTATAGGATTTCTTCCTGTTATATCCCCCTGGAGATGACTAACAGCTGGATTCAAGTGCTAGATTAGCAAGTGGTATTTCCTATCTGAAGATGGATATCTCTTCATAAGCCTTCTTTAGATCTAGAGATTTGCTGCAGAATATTCATGACTTTAGAATTATTTCCCTATATTCTACAGTTAACTACAATTAATGTGATCCTCTGTGACTAAACATTAACATATAAAGTCTCTCCCCTCCTTGAATTTGGTTTTTAAAAGGTATGCATTTTATTTAAACCAAAAGGAACAGGGTAACCACAAAAGTAGCAAAAGTGTTAAAGTGTGGAAAGAAAGAGTGGAGAGGGTGGTAGGAATTACAGACTAAATGTAAGGAAAGGGAAGAAATGGTAGGGAGAAAGTACAAGTGATCTCCCTCTGCTGTAAGGTATTCAATCACTTTATTGGGAGTTATTGCTTAACTATTGTTAATAAATAAATAAAATAAATATAAAAAAATGGCTGAGTCTCCACAGTACCAAGGTAATCATTTTGAAAGCAGGCAGAACCCCATCCAGGTAAGAGTCATCCTGGGACAGTGTTGGCAATGCCCAGTGTTACCCAGTGTAAGAACTTAAAAGGAACTTTGCAAACTCAGGTTTTACAAAATCATCATGTTCCCTAGGAGCCTTTCCTCCAAAGCAAACTGGGTGAAGCAATAATGACTTGCCTTTCTCAAGGTGAGGAATAGGGGAAAGGAAATCATCGCTACAAAAGACATTGAAATCAATCACCAGAATCCTGGACATGCTGACAGTTACCTTTTCAGTTGGTGGGTTGGAGGCTTGGAGAATGAAAATTGGTACAGTCGAGAGCCGATCCCAGACATTATTCCAGTAATTAAGTAGTCTCCTGGCTTGTAGTAATGGAACCATTCCTTTTCTTCTATTATCACCTTAAGTGGACATTTCATCAGCATATAGGCACAGGGAATTTGAGACAGAAGCTGAAGCAGAAAGATTTGTTTATGCAGCAATAGCAACATTTGACACATACTGCAGAAGATCCTTCCTATAGTTCTTTATTCAGCACAGAGTTAAATCTCAGAGTTCACAGAAGACCATAACTACAGTGAAGCAGTTTGGCCCCAGATTTGGAAGAGTTATCTGCAAATTCAGACTGCTACAGTATTTGCTTGATTTTACGCCAACCTCTGCACATTGATTGGTAACTAATTGAGGTGGTGGAAATCCCATAAACCTTGTTCAAATGAGAATAAATAATCATGATTTTAATAATTAGAAGGGGAATTGGGAAATAGCTTTGCCACAAAAGTGTGCAGTTGGAGAAAAGAATGTTGTTTCGCTCAGGAGAATAATCCTAATCCGAGAGTCAAGAAAGCAACAATTCAGGGAAGTTTGATTGTTTTTAGTCTATAAACTTATATTCTTGGGATTCTGAAGATTAAAATGTGGAAAAACAGTTCAACACTCTTGAACTAGTCAGCAGGCTATCAGTCTTTATGATTACAAATAAGATCTAGTCGAAATTCCCTGGTGCATTAATCTGAAAAATGGCCTGTTACTGACTTGTTCATAATGTGATGACATTTGCTGTCATATGTTATCTAGAAGGGGGCCAAGAGATTGTGCTGTAGGAGTGCAATAGCAAAAAAGGCTGAAGTTGAAGGGGTAAATGAAATCTGAGAAGCTGAGACCATGGTCAATGCTATATGATGGGCAGATTTGAGTCCTTCAGCTAAATATGCACCTGAGACCTTTATCCATTGCATCCTCCAAAACCCATTTGATGTAGTATAAGTAAATTAATTACATATATTTCCTGGAAAATCAGTTGCTTCAAGGATAAACGTTAATCTGAAGCCAGAATGGGACAACTCACCATAGCCAACTCATTATGGCCAACTGGCTATGGCCAACTCACCATGGGACAAGTCGCCATGGGACAATTTTACAATTTAATATAATTATTTAAAATAAATAAAAATAAATTTTATTTTTTGTAATTCCCATTTCATTCTGTCACTCCTTTGATATCCCTTTTTAAATCATTCTATTCCACCATTTCTTAGACATTAGTGTAACTCTTGTCCTGCAGCGAATTGTTACAGATTCATCTGAAGTTCTAATTCCAAAGGTGTAGATTGCAAAGTATGGACTTTTCTGTGTTGGCACTTCAAACCTCTTACCTGATTTGCTTCCAAATTCATGGGAGAAGAAATAGGTCATTTTTTACACACCTTGATTTTACCCTTGAAGTATATGGGAGAAACAGGTAATCCAGTACAATAACATCTATTCATCTAGGTGTCTGTCACTTCTGATTGGAAAGAATGCAATATCATGAGATCTCAATAGATACCAATGTGCTGGGTGTGATTTACTTTTTTATTATTTGGAAGTGGGGAAAGATCCACTTCCAAGTAATATTTTCCCCATTGTTCCCTGGGTACATTTTTTTTGATGTTTTCTTAGAAGGTGGGTGGATTGGGATAAATAATATTTCTGTCACCCCTTATTTCAGTTGGAAATCAGGTGATTTCAGGGACTTGAAGACAGAAAGAAGAAGTAATAGATAATTGCCAAAGGGGACCTATCTTTTATTCAGAGTCTGGATTACGATATTTCACTTCTGGATTAGTTTAAATACAAGGGCTTAACTAAAATACTGTACTTAGAATAATATTATAAAGACAGGATGGCACAGCACTGAATTCTCCACATCAGATCAATAGCACATTTATATACCTCACGGCATTTAAAAATGAAACATGCTTTCCCTAGGAATGTATTCCCTTAGTCCATCAAACAAACTGTGGGAAATCTAATGAAAGTAGATTAACTATCTATTGACTAGAAAAGAGAGAGAAAATGTTAGTGTACTGAAGAGCATATTGATTCAGTGATGTGATTTGTGCTCAAATCCAAATGACTTCCAACAGTTCTCACACATTCTGAAACAAGGATCACAGTATTACTTATCTTTCTAATTCAAATATTGGAAAAACTGGTTCTTCATGTGGATGCCACTTCTGGAGGTCTATTCTGAGCCTGGGCAACGAAAAATTAGCTATCTGTTCTGCTGAAATGATGCGAACTTGCTGAATCCCACCACTGCCCTCCGCCCCCAAAATCTAATGTTCCTGAATCTTTGAAATTTTGAGGTCTGTGGACAATTCTGGTAGTTTGATTTTAAAGGTCAAAACTTTGAGCTGCATTTAGAAGCTAGTAAGGACCAAAGCTAATAAGAAATCAATGCAGAATCCCTTTGATGCACCAGCAGCTGAGTAACTGCATTCTAGTCCAATTGAAACTATTGAACGGTCTTTGAAGAAACCCACGTAGAACACATTGAAGTAGTCCAGGCAAGGGTGAAAAGGGCTTGGGTTACTCTGGCAAATTCCTCTTACTCAAGATAGCATTGTAAAGATGTACTGTACTAGACAGATCTGGGAAAAGGTAGAAGGAAAGAGAAGAAGAACATGACCAGCATCAAGGTGGCTGGACTCAATTAGTGTCAAAGTGTATGTCACTGAGATACATGAAGGTCCAAATTATAACAGATCAACCTGAAGATGGTCCAGCTATGATGTCAGTAGATGTTGATGCCACATGACAGTTGATAATCAATCCATATGAACTTATTCTCTATAGAGGCCAAAAGAGTGCAGTATTCAAGAAAAAAATCATTCAAAACAATATTGATGTTAGGATATATCATTACCTAGAGATAAGCATTCTGGAATATCTGACCTTCATTGAAGAAGATGGTTTCATTTACACAAGACACAATAAGAAGAAATTATTTATTTATTTAATTTTATTTATATGCCGCCCAATCCCAAAGGACTCAGGGCGGCGTACAAAATTAAAACAATCATCTAACAATAAAACAATACAATCATACTGCAAGTCCGATCATATCCCGCCCCCCCCCCGGGGACATCAGCCCCAGGCCTGCCGGAACAGGAGAGTTTTAACGGCTTTCTTAAAGGCCGGCAGGGTGGGAGTTGTTCGTACCTCGGGGGGAAGTTAAAATTTCTCCACTGGCTAGAGAGAGAAGATGTAGACTTAGCAAGAGATTATCTGAAACTGCAGGTTTCCCTTCCATAACTGGGGCAAACTGGAAAATCTTCACTGCAGAGGAGCTATTTTGAGATTGCTGAACTTCAACTTTATGCCAGAGAAAGAACTTTAGGAAGCATCTCCATCAATATCTTCAAATGCTATTGCTGAAAATGCATTTCTTTCTGTTTCTGTCCCAATTTCCCTGTGCCATGATGCAGATGAAATGTCCATTGAAGGTGACAACAGAAGAATTGAAGAAGTTTAATCACTACAAGCCAGGAGATTACCTGATTACTGCAATAACATCTAAAATATTTTCTCGATGTTTCCCATATATTTTCTCTAAACCTCCAACCCACTACTTTGAACATGGATGGGAAATTAAAATGAAAAAAAGCAAAAATAGGATATGGATTAAATAAGTGGAAATTGAGATATGCTTTGGCTAGAAAAGATATTTTAAACTGATATTATTAGAAAAGTGTAACAAATGTTTTTTTTTATTGAAAATTTTTTAAAAGTTTTACAAATAACAACAAACAAGACAACCCTCCAGATGGAGTATTTCTACATTTGTTAAATTTACCCAATCACTAATCAATGTTAAAACCACAGCATCGTAATATAATTTCAAATTCGGTACCTTGAGTCCACCTCTCTCACGAAAATCTTGCATAATTTTAAGCTTTACCCTTGGTTTTTTCCCTGCCCAAATAAATTTATTAATACCTTTCTGCCATTCATTTAAATTAAGCTCATTCTTTAAAATAGGTAACATTTGAAACAAAAAAAGAAATTTTGGTAGGACATTCATTTTAATAACTGCAATTCTACCCATAAGAGATAACTGTAACTTATCCCAATTCTTCAAATCCTTCTGTACCCTGATCCACAACTTTTCATAATTATTCTTATACAGTTTTGCATTAGAAACAGATAATGTAACCCCCAGATATTTTACCTTATCAACAACTTCAAAATCTGTTAAATTAACCAAGATCTGTTTATCACGATTAATCATGTTTTTAGGTAATATTTTAGTCTTATTATTATTAATTTTAAAACCCGAGACACAACCATATTGATAAATCAATTGTAATAACTTTACTACAGAGTAAGTAGGTTGAGACAGAGTAACCACCAAATCATCTGCAAAGGCTCTTAACTTATATTCTTTTTTGTTAACTTCTATTCCTTTTATTTCTTGCGACTCCCGAATTTTGATCAGCAAAATTTCCAATGTTAAAACAAACAGCAACGGAGATAATGGACATCCCTGTCTTGTACCTTTTTCTATTGTGAAAACCTCTGACAAACCCCCATTAACAATAAGTTGAGCTGTCTGTTTTTGATATATGGCGCATAAAGCTTGTGATATTTTTTCTCCAAAATTCATCTCCTTAATTAAACTTAACATAAATCCTCCCTGATTTGAGACACAGCATTTCCCATTATATCTTTAATATCTTGTGCAGACAAGCCTAGGGGGGGAGGAGAAGATGGAGGTGTAACCTTAGGTTGCTGCACCAGTGGTGTTACTTTAAGTTGTTGTTGTACAGTTGCAATTACAGGAGAAGAAACCACCTTAGAAACTATAGAAGCTGGTTGTCTCTTTGAAGCCATTTTTTTAAAAAATCTTATTCTCTCTTTCTTTCTTCTTGAAAAAAAAATACTAAAATCTTTAAAGTTAAAAAAAGACCAGAGAGAGTCCCAAAAAAGAAAAACTTCCAAAACACTTTAAAAGAAAATAGAAAAAGAAACTTAAAAAAGAGAAAAAACAATGCTAAGCATACGTTTCATTTAGTCCGTCTTTTCTTTCCGGAGATAGAAAGAAAAAAGCACTTTCAAAACGCCATTTTACTTTCACTCTCACTCTCCGCCCGAAAGAAAAAAAACCAAAAAAAAAGAATCAACATAAGCTAAAAAAGAAATAAAGAAAAATAAATCTCTAACTCTAAGTAAAATCCTTTAAACAGTTCTGTCCGCTTTAAAAATCACTCACCAGAAAACTTTAAGCGCGGAGATGGTAGCGGCGTTTCACTTTGCTTCCAAAGAAACAAAGACAGCTGAGAGGCGGAGAGGACACGAACTCCGAGGGAACACTCCTTCTACCCCCCCAAAAAAGAAATCCAGGGGGGGTTAAGAGGTTCTACCTCTATTCGTGCAGTCTCTACCCCTTCCCTTCGCCTGGGAAGGGGATTTCGAGCCGCGGGCCAGCTGATGAACGCTGTGCTCCGCAGATCTGACACCATCTCAGGAGGACGGCTACAAAGTAGCCGCCATCACCGTCGCTAACCACCGGAAGTTTTTTCGAAAAGTGTAACAAATGTTGATATACAATTGTATGCTTACTAACAATAATAAGAACTGTGTTTGCTTGATGTGGAAAAATGGTTATTGCCAGAAGAAGAGAGGATATACTGGCAGGTGTAATAGTAGACTTAGCTGGAAGAAGCTTACAGTATATGTATCACAGAATTACTAATGGACTCAGTCATCATGTTGTCTATTGAGCACTTGTATGAAAATAGAAAATTAATAAAACATATATATATCTTCCCTCCCTAACACAGCTGGCAAAAGTGAGAAAGAGCCTGTGGCCTAGAGATTAACACAGCTGCCTAACATGCAGATGGCCCAGGTTCGAATCTCAGAAGGGTATGTCTGGTTGAAAAGAACTAAAAAAGTTCGAAATAGCTATTCCAGTTCTCCCTTAATTCTTTGCTAGCAATCCAAATTTTAGAAATTTGTTTGCAGACAAAATGGCTATCCATTTGATTTCATCAGACGATACAGCAGACCATATGAACCTCGCAGAATACAACACACAGGCACCACTATGACATGGACAACTCTGCCATACATCAAGGGGGTATCAGAGGCGACGGCACGAATATTGGTGCCATATAACATTAGTATTGCCCATAAACCAAATCAAACCCTTTGTACCAAAATAATGTACCCCAAAGATCCACTCCCCAATGAAGAAAGATCTTCAGTGATATATAGAGTGAAATGTAAGTATTGTCACTGCAATTACATTGGGGAGACAACCAAACGGCTTGGAACTAGAATCCATGAACACAAACTGGCCATTAAACGACATGAGCAACGCTCGCAGGTGTGGGTCTATATGGCCAAC